GATGAGAAAAAAGGGATAATAATGATAATAATAATTCTGGTGTTTGATGTAGCTCCTTATCACGTGGCTGAGACGTCTCAAAGAGGGTCGAGGTTGTTGCTGACGGGTTTCGCCTTGAAACGACAGGACTATCTTGCTCTCAGACCGTTTATAATATATAATAATAATAATAATCCTCGCATTTGATACGGCGCCTTATCACGTCTTCGAGACGTCTCAAAGCGCTTCACGGGATAGACTGTAAAGTGAATTGACAGTGTATATTGTGGGCGAAACGCGGCAGCCAATCGCGCACAGCAGCGTCCCCGCAAACAGTCGTGGATTGAAGTGACCAATTTATTATTCGGTTTTTGTTCTTGAAGGATTATTATCAGGCGCGTGGAGTAAGGAAACTTGCCCAAGGTTTAGATGGTTGTATGCAGTGTGTGCGAGTGGCTTTTGTTTAATGCAGTGACGCTCACGTAAGTCGTGTCGGTTGAAACTTATGCCAAATATGAGTTATGTCGAATTTGCAGAGAATATGAACTCTTGAAGGAGACTTGGGGTAGATGTACGACTCACGCGATTATACTATTTATATAAGATCAGACATGCAAATTTTACTCTCTCTCTCTATATATATATAATAAAGACAGTGCCTTTGGAGTTTGCAAACCTAGAATTCTTTGAGGTCATTTCTGGCCAGCATCAAGTATGGCAGCAGAGTCCCGCGGGGGGAGGGAACGTGACTGATGCCTTATTCACAATAACCTCATTGTGATTCCTTCACTGATCGCTCAGCAGGTTTGGTCACTAAAGTGGCCAAGTGATGTGGATCTGAGTGGTTGAAAGTCGGTGTTGAGTTAATTGCCCTGCGCGGGGGGTAAATTCCCTTCCTCCCTGTGTCCCCCCCCACTGCCCCCGTGCCCCCATTGCTGTCAGGGGCTGGGTTTTTGGATGAAGGATGAGGGTTTGTGGGTCTTGGTTCACATCCAGATAAATTGTGAAAAACAGCCAGCAGCTCAGATCCGTATCATTCCAGGTATTATTAAGGTGTCATTCCAGTCCTACTGCTTCCGGTTGCTAGGCTGGTGGCAGGACTGAGCAAAGGGAACAGTCGGTGTCCTTCAGACTTCAGTGAATCTCCCCGGCTTTTGGACGAGATGTTAAACTGAGGTCCTGTCTGGTGAGAGGAGCATTTTTTTGCCGTTCACCGAAACAGACAGACGAATAGACAATCTCCTAAGGACGTCCCAAGGCGCACTGGACAAGTTGAGGGTTTGCACCCGAGCTGGGGTTGGTATTGAGGGGTGGAGAGTGAGGGTTGGGTGAGAGGGTGGCTGAAAGCATAACACAGGACCTCGGTTTAATGTCTCATGTAGAGGACACAGCAGTTTATACCGTCCCAAGACTGTATTGGAGAGAGGGCGGGAGGCAGATGGTCAGGCCAGACTGTGATATTAATATCCGGATATGGAGTTTACACCCATATTGTGGGAGGGAGGGTGTGGGGGTGAGGTGGGGTAGGAGGGAAATGATGGAGATTTCATTTGATGGCGTCTGGAGGAAGTGAGAAAGTCTTGTTATCTTTGGCTAGCGAACAGAATTAGCACTGAATCTGTCAAACAACTCCAGCAACAATAGCTAAGTGTAGGTGTTGATTGAGTGCTTGCCACTCGCCCCGCCACACACTAAACACTGGCTGCTACAGTCCAGATGTGAGCGAGAGAGATTAGTGAGAACACGAGCTCCGGTTTTATTCTCCTGCTCCCAAGCCAAGAAGTCATCGCTCAGTAATGACCCAGCGGCTCAGTTGGTAACATTCTCCTCTCAGAAGGTTGTGGGTTCAAGCCCCATGTTCTGAGAGAGCGCGTCCCCACTTCTTCACGAACCTCTGCATGAAGAAAGCTTCCTGGACTTAGTTCTAAGCATTTAATTCTGAATTTAAGAGTTGTACACCATCTATCTAAGTTGCCAACCTGTGTTGTTATAGGCAAACGCTCGTGTTATACTTTACGTTAAACCAGGGTCCCGTCTGTCTGTTCAGGTGGATGTCATGGCACTATTCGAAAAGAGAAGGGAGTTTCTCCCGGCCAACAATCTTCCAGCTTAACTAATTGATCAGTCATTTGCCTCTCATCAGCTCGGGTCCAAAAAAAACCTCTGACTGTCCAGCGCCCTGGGATGTCTTTCTGTCGTGAAGGGCACTATACAAGTGTAGTGGTGGTGGTCGTGGTGGGATTTTCTTGTGTGCAAAACAGCTGCTGCATATCTTACATTAAAAAAACAGTCACTACACTCGACAGCAATTGCCAGTCGAGCGCTTTGAAGCACTTTAGCAAGACGAGGCAAGCTCGGTCGGGTATGTTCTCCCCTGATGCTGGGTCAGGTCACAGACCTGGACAGGATTCAAGAGGAGATTTAGATCAGGGAATCTGGTGACAATGTAAACAACTGGGGTTGGGTTCTGTGGGTGTCAGGTGTCACCATTCAGGCCTCTCTCCTGACCCTCAGGTTCTCTTTGTTCCCTGTTGTAAAGAAGCAATCAAAATCTTTGACTCACACCCAGTTGGTGTCAAATAGCTCTGTATAATGTCTGTAATTAACCGAGAAAAGGCTTGTGATGGCAAGCGCGAGGATGGTTGCACAGGCTGAGACCAAGGCTTGGCCACACTTCCTGGGTACTTGTCTCCACTGGCTCTTACCGGCTGTTATATTCCCCTGGGCCCTTCTTTGGTTTATTGGTTCCTATGTTCAACGTGACATTTACACCGCTCTTACCTTCGCAGTATCTTTTCTAATAATAATCCTTGCATTTAAGGATGTCTCAAAGAGCTTCACAGAATATAATAATAATAATCCTTGCATTTGATATAGCGCTTTTCACGTCGGGAGGACGTCCCAAAGCACTTCACAGAATAGACTGTAAAGTGAATTGACTGTATATTTGTGGGCGAACGCGGCAGCCAATTGCGCACAGCAATGTCCCACAAACAGTCGTAGATTGAAAGTGACCAATTTATTATTGGTTTCGTTTTTTTAGAGGAATTATTATTAGGCTCTGTGTGGAGTAAGGAAACTTGCCCAAGGTTTGGCCCTCTGCCTGGAATTGAACTCAAGTCTCTCGCTTGCAAAGCGAGTGCTCTAACCACTGAGCTACAGCACTCCTATACCGTGAACTGGAGTGACTGTGTATTTTGCGGGTCAAAGACGGCAGCCAATTGCGCGCAGCAGTGTCCCACAAACAGTCTTGGATTCAGTGACCAAATTATTATTATTATTTTGAAGGAATTATTATCTCTGGAAAAGTGATCCAACAATTGACTAACAACTGGGTTCTGGTAACCAGAAGCACGTGGAGTAAGGAAACTTGCTTAAAATTTTTCCCTTCCCGAGAATCGAACCTGGGACTTCTCGCTTGCGAGGCGAGCACGCTAACCACTACACTATTGGACTCTACAGTAGTTGCAAGGAATTTGACCTATATATTGTGCTCAGATTATTTACAAGGTTGGACAGGGGGGGCTGGAGGGGGTGCAAGATGTGTTGTGACTGGACGGGTTTGTGGGGGAATGAGGGAGCTCATTCAGACCAGTCATCGCGCCCATCAATTGCGTAAAGCGTCTTTTCTGTTGCCGTGACATGCCGAGGCCCAGGTTCCACTGCAAAGTGTTGACCTTCGTTGTGTTGTTATGTGACAGGAAGCGAGCATGACGAGAGAGAAAGACATTCCTGCTGAGTTTAACCTTGTAAACAATCACTCACAAGACGGCTTCTGTGGGTGCAATTTCTGAGTTGTTCACGATTGCAACTAGAACAAGGCTGTGTCTATGCGTGTTACAGGGTTAGTCATTGGTAATAGATTACAGGGCGAGCTGTACGCAAGATATAGAGGAATTCGTGCTGTGTGAATGAAGATTCTCGATGGGAACTGCCTACGCTTGTGCTACATTTAGGCTAAATCCTTGAGGCGTGTCTATTGCCCACAAATTACCGAGGTCCTTCCGTTCCATGTTTACAACAGGATTGTAAACACACAACGAGAAGATTGTTGATGTGGGAGATTAACATGCAATAGCCCTGAACGCACAACTGATCCCACAGCCTAGTGTTTAGCATACTCGCCTCATAAGCAGGAGGACCCGGGCAGGGCAAAACCTTAGGCAAGTTTCCATACTCCACATGCGTCTGTTTACCTAGCGGTTAGTAGGAACCCAGTTGTTAGTCGATTGGTGAATCGCTTTCCAGGGATAATAATCCCTCAAAAAAAAGAAATAGTAATAGTTTGGTCACTCGATCCTCGACCGTTTGTGGGGCACTGCTGTGCGCAGTTGGCAGGACCAAGGAGGAGGAGAAGGGGCTGGAGTTCAGACTGGGGTGAGGTGACCTTAGGTTCCAGCCCGGGCTGTAACACAATCTCCAGGTAAAATGATCCAGCTGGAAAAGCCATTGTACACATGAGTGGGTCCCTCAAACTCCTGCTGGCACGAGCTATGTGTCTGATGTAAAGGGTCATCGATCAAAAGTCAGGGGTCGAGAGAAAGGTCCTGCTCACTGTCTCACACTATCTCTGAAAGCAGGCGAAATGCAATTCATTTGCCATATGAATCACAGCCTGGGGCCTCGTCAACTGACAAACTGTCCATCTTCCCCCTCCCCCCCGTAAAGTGAGACTCTCACCCTTTGAAGTCCCTCATCTCCTTCACTTAACAGCCACTGCGTAATAATAACCCCAACGGGGGGTTGAGACACCTCAAAGCGCTTCATGGAATATACTGTAAAATGAATTAACTGTATATTTTGTTGGCGAACTGCAGCAGCCAATTGCACACAGCAGTGTCCAACAAAGCAATCCACCAATCGACCCAACAACCAGGTTCCTACTTACTGCTAATAAATAAAGGTGTGTGGGGTAAGGAAACTTCCCAACGAGGTGATAAGGCTCCATACCAAATGCAAGGATCGTTAAGGATTATCATGATTAATTCTCTTGTCTCTCTGTGTCTCGTCCCTAGGTTGGCGGAGTCTTGGTGCGAGCACACAGTGAGTGCGGTATGGTGAGAGCAAAGCCCAGGCAATATGAGTATCAAAGATGCGGGAGATGCAGGCAACCAGAAGGACAAGGTCTACAAACTGCAGGTTTGCCCCAGTCTGTGGAGCGAGAATTCGGTCTGTTGCCAGATCCCGGCCACCATAGAAGTAACTGCTGGTGATGTGATCCATCAGGTGGCCGGGAGATTGAACCTCGATCTCTCAAAGCGCTATGTCCTGGCGGAGGTCAAGGAGCCTGGAGGTGAGGAATGGATTTTGGACCCCAATGACTCGCCCGTTCAGCGGATCAAGCTATGGCCGAGGAAGGCTCAGGAGGACCATGATCAGAGCGAAGGCTATTACTTCCTCCTGCAGGAAAGGAACACTGACGGGAGCATCCGTTACATCAATCTGCAGTTGGTGGCCAAGGAGCGGGAACAACGACGGCTGGTGGAGCGAGGTTTCCTGCCACCCCAACAGCAGCTCTACGACGACCTGTGCAACCTCCCGCTCCTGGCCGAGAAAACCATCCTGGAGAATCTCAAGAACCGCTTCCTGAAGCAAAAGATCTACACATACGCCGGGAGTATCCTCATCGCAATCAACCCCTTCAAGTTCCTGCCCATCTACAACCCCAAGTACGTGAAGATGTACGAGAACCACCAGTTGGGCAAGCTGGAGCCTCACATCTTTGCCATCGCCGACGTGGCCTATCACACCATGCTCAGGAAACAGATCAACCAATGCATTGTGATATCAGGGGAGAGCGGCTCAGGCAAGACACAGAGCACCAACTTCCTCATCCATTGCCTGACGGCGCTGAGCCAGAAGGGCTACGCCAGCGGAGTAGAGAGGACCATCCTGGGCGCTGGACCCGTGCTGGAGGTAGGATTTGGCGACGGATGGTGGTATCTTGGCACCTTTGGATATTTCCGATTGCTTTACTGCTCACGTAAAAAAAAAGTTGATGTTCCTCTCATTTAATAAGGTGGATATTACACTGAAAAGGCTCAAGGTGCTTGGCAAGTAATTGCTCACAAGTGTAGTGTGTGGTTTTTTTTGGCAGCCAAATTGCGCAGGTTCCGCAAATGTTTATGCAGCTTTATCTGAAGTATCGGCCAGGACACTGGGAGGAGCTGCCTTCTCATTGTTTTTTTGAGATATTAAAAAATAATTATAATTATTATATTTATCCTTACATTTGGTACGGCGCCTATCCACATTGGGAGGACCTCCCAAAGGGCTTCACAGGACACACTGTAAAGTGGAGTGACTGTGTGACCAGAGACCAGGTCAAATTTGCTCCAAGTTGAAAGATGCCCAATAAACGTCCAACTTGGGAGGTCCGCCTAGAATCCGAGGCTGGTTCAGACACACCTGCTCTCCGAGCTTGTTTGCTTGAGGGAGAGGGGTGGGGGGTGAGGGGGTTGGTGGTCTCTGCAACAACGACCAAACATTATTATTTGGAAGAAAGCCCAAGGGCGAGTATGACCCTGCATTTCCACTTATAGACTGGGATTTGGGGAAAGGTTTGATGGGGAGAGAGATGGGATTTGAAAACAGGGCCCAATCGGATGAGTTAAAGGTCTTTTCCAACCATGAAACATTCCTGGATCCACTTCTTATGGTTCTGGCGTTTTATTGTAATTAAGCAGAAATTGGGAAATGGCCAAAAGGGAAATCGAGCCCTTGTACTTCAGGCCTTTCATCCTCTGCCTCCGTGGCCACTTGGTGTTACTGCAGATTCCTGACATTTCGCCATGTGTTCTTTGTCTCTGCAACCATTGAGCTCATTATGTGTATGTGTGAAACTTGTCCTTTTAAGATGTTTCTATCGCCCGTCTTTTAACACCCGCCCCCCCCCACCACCCTCAACCATGCTTCTTCCCGATGGAACGTAGCTGCTGTTGTGTTTGCCGGTAAATAGTCACTACACTTGCAAAGCGACTTGTTTTGTGAGGAGATGTGTCAATGTGCTGAGATGAGAGGTATCTCAGAAGGGGACTTAATTGACCTTTGGACATTTTTCCTTCCTATGTACTATTTTTATTTTGGTGATTGAAATATCCTCCGTTCTCCCCCAACCCACCCTCGGTAATTAGGCCATTGAGGGAGATACATCAGTTAGTCGAGTCACAATCAGATCTTCAAGACAGTGTAGGACTCTGGTGAGTTCTGGGGCACAAAGGGAAGATCTGTTGCTAAACAGAAGTTGTTGTGAAAGAGGCTGATTTTTACGCAAGAGTTTGGTTGGAGCAGAATTAACCATTGTGTCCGACGAGATGTTTTCACAGCCTCAGATTCTCTGTTCCCTTACCTCCGCACACTTCTTTCCAGATGAATGGGTATTTCCGTGCCCTACAGTACGTGGAACTCTCGGTCGTTTGGTTTGGACGGGGCTGGGTTTCTGGAGGGGTCAGACATCTTGTTGACCAAATACAAAAAAAAAGCAAACGTGATTGAATTTTTTTTATTTCTCTCGTCGCTGTCCGAGTGGGGTGGGGACGTTGCTGGTTCCCCTTTGACTGTCACTTTCGCTTGTATAACTACCCACAGTCCAGCAACAACAACCGGGCTTCAGAGCATCGCATGTGAAGCCTTTTGAGATATTTTGATGTGGGTTGGGTTCGAGGACAGATATTTTTACGACAAAAACAGAATGTTGATAAGAATTGGGGAATTGAAAGAACGCAAGACGATCTCTCGCCCTCCGCACACTGTCAGTTCAGCAACTGTTTAAGCACCTGTGTCTGACCTTGGGCCTTGGTGATCCTAGGATAGGGAGAGTGAAATCAGCCGGGTTCCTGTTCCTGACCCTTAACCACAGAATTCTGTGGTTAAGGATCTGAATTGAGCACAAGTCTGAGGCCCGTTTCCCCCTCCAGCATCATCATCATTTGATTGGAACCTGTTTATTTAATCCCGGAGAGTACTAGGCTGGCACGAGCCAAGGCTTTCTGCAACTTCTCCAGCTAGGATCACCCTACTCGTTGGACTTTGGCTTAACAGGGCTGAGTGTGAGGTTTCCCTGCCCCCAGAGACTGGTCGACCCTTCCAAGTCCTGCTGATGAGCCAGGCCAGGCCGGGCTGTGCTGTCACTAGCATTGAGTGCCCTGGAATTCTGTGGACCAGCCCAGCTCAGGATTAGCATTGCTGGGACCACCATAGAAGGTGGGTTCAATTCCGATATTCCATTGCCAGGCATCTCACCTTGTAAGCAGCTCAGGTCTATGGAGACATTGATTACCAACCCCCTTGAACGTAAATTTCAGGCAAATTACCTCTGAAGACTTGCGTCCAGTTACAAGAGATGATTTGTTATTTTAAGGTTTTTTCTGGGGGTTGGGGGTTGTTAGGTGTGAGCAGTTTTCGTGGCTACAAGTCAGCTTGATTTGCTCTTAAGGTCCTGTTGACGGAAAGTGTTTCAGTTCTGTACTCTTCCCAGTGAAAGGAGAAGTTGTGGCTCATGAGATGGAAAGGTGGGGGCCTACCATAGCCTTCTCTCAACACTGTACGAGAGAATGAGAGTTGGGGGGTGGGAGGAAGGAAGAAAACCTCCTTCCTGTTTTCATTTGCTGCACGGAAGTTGTCTGCGGGGGAATCAGCTGATTGCAGAGACGAGATATCCCTTTAGCAGCCTTGAAATACCAGCCTTGATGACTGTGCTGGCATCTGAGTGGTTTGGTGGGGGGAGTGCGGGGAAGTGGTTGCTTCATAGAAGGTTTAGAGCAGAGCAGGCTCCTGGGTTGGACTGGCAAGGGAGGAAGAGGGGTGGGGGCAGGACTTTGGACCACCCACACAAGAGGAAAAAAGGGGACGCTCCTGGCACCCACCTCACTGCTCTCCATCTGCCAACGAGGAATTTTGATTGCCACAGGCTGTTTCTGGCTTAGAAGAACTGAAATGATTATATATTAAATGAGTTTTGAGAACAGGGATGACTTTCCTTATGCCTCTTCCAAATTGGCAGCAGTACAGGGGTTGTTTGGCCTCAACCTCGCAGGTCCTCAGGGACACCTCTCGCTTCTCAGCGGCCAGTTTACCTTTTTTGACCAAAACCCTCCCCGTTGAATCGAATTTATTTTGCAACTCCTTCGGTTTCAGAGCCAGAAGGTCCAACCCTCTGGGCTGCTCTGAGCTAGTGCTGGTTCTTTCACTGATTCAAACCATCCTGGGTTAGGATGATAGGTTTATAAAGCCTCCTTTTAGCTTCTAATCGGAAGTAATAGTAATAATAATAATCCTTGCATTTGATATAACACTTTACCACCTCATTGACACGTCTCGAAGCTCTTCACAGAATATATTTTAAAGTGAATTGACTATATTTTGTGTGCGAAATGCGGCAGCCAAACAGTTGTGGATTGCGTGACGTTTTCGTGAAGGGATTTTTACTAACAACCAGGTTCTTGTGGAGTAAAGTAAACGGGTGTGTGGAGTAAGGTAACTTACCAGAGGTTTTATCCGGCAGGGAGTCAAACCTGGGTCCTCTCGTTTGCGAGGCGAATGCTCTAACCAATACACTACAGGACTCAATGACTTAAGACTGTTAAAACTGAACCAAATGCAAGCCATCTGTGCATCAGTTAGTGTCTGTGCTAATGGCAATCTCTCCTCTCTCTTTCCCACCCCCCGGGGTATCTGGAACTATGCTAAGTAGATACAGACACCCAGCACACCATCATTGCTTCATACAGTGACTTCACCTCTCTGGTATGCTAACTCTTCCCAATGATTGGAATACATCTCAACCCAGGATCTCTCTAAACCCGGCCCCCTTCCTCCTGCGCCTCCACCCCGACTCCACAGATCTGAATGTTTGGAATCCTGCTCTGTGTTGTTTACGTCCCCCCATCCCGTTCCCCCCCGGATCACCCGCCCCCCTCCCTCCTGTTGGGGGCCCTACACTGTCTTGCCGGGAGTTTGCAGGATGGCGAAAGGAATGCTTCACCACAAATGGCTGTCGCAGCTGAATCCTTAACTGCATTTCACAGGCAATTGGATAAATATTCGGGAGAAAAATAATGTCAAAGTCTTTTCCATCACCAGGATGGGATGTTAAACTCAGGGACAATCCGCCTGTTTAGCTTAGAGATCCCATGAAAAGAGAAAGGAGTTTCTGTTTGTTTCCCTTGAATGGGGAAACAATTAGATTAAACCTTCCCACAGCCCTGTTAAACGCCTGTGCTCCACTCCCCGCGCCCCCTCCCCTTTCCCCTTCTGTCTTGTTTTGAGTGGATTCTCCTGGGATGGAAGGGGTCTGATTAAACCACAAGGTGAAATGAAGGCAGAGGCAAGCATTTTGATTGTAGAGTGTGAAGAGAGGAGGGGTTGTGGGGGGGTGATGGTGGCGACAGGATGTGACTCATTTGAGCGGAAAGATAAAGGCAGTGGTCAAAATGCTTGGCACTGATTGACCACCTTGGGCAATGGGCTGGGGGGAGCATTGGCGGTTTCAGTAACTGACTGAATGGATTCCCAGGATGATGGGAGGTCACCATTGTGATCCTGTGTATATACAGTGCTGCCTCTCCCCAAGTCTTTCAACAAAAGTAAATTCACTTAAAGCAGTTAGCCTATAATTAGACTATTTGCACGTCTAATTATTGACGCCTGATGGTAAGCACTTAAAGGAAGCCTTGCTAGGGCGGCTGCAAAGAGTGCGCCTGATGTGGTTTGCCCGTTTTGTGTGGGAGCCATTAATGGTGCTTATTAGATGCAACAATTTTAATGGAACAATTTTAATGATGACAGACAGTGCAGTGTGTTTGATGTAACCTCTCCATCAGAGATTCCTTAATGATAAATCTTCATAGAAATAAGTAGCCCTTCTCTGTCCATATATAGAAATTTAGACTTGGTGGGAACAAGCTTTTTTGATGTCAACATACTGATGAGATCATTTCCTATTCTATTTGACCATGATCGCTTATTCCAGTGTCTGTCTGTCTGTCTGTTGTCTGAAACACATGAGCAGAAATGAAGAGAGAGTCAATGGGTCAGGCTTCCTTGAGGCCTCACCAAGGCAACTGTCCCAGGAGCAGGCCATTCAGCCCCTGTAGCCTGTTCTGCCATTCCATGAGATCATAGCTGATTCATAACTCAACTCCAATTACCTGTAAGCCTTGATACCCTGACCTAACGAGGATCTATCAACCTCAGTCTTAAAAATTTGAATGGATCCAGCATTCACAGCCTTTTGTGGGAGAGAGAGTTCCAGATTTCCACTACCCCTTGGGTGAAAAAAATGATTCCTGATTTAACCCCTAAATGGCCTAGCTTTAATTTTATAATTTAAGGGCATGGGTGGTGTTGATTTAAGCACAGCCAAGGTCTGGTCTGGAGACAGCTTGGTGGATCTGGACCTCTTAGCACTTTCGTAAACCTAAGCTAACCCAGATCCTTAGTCGCAGAGGCACCAATACTTCCGAGAGCAAAGAGCGGGTGCCTGGGTGAGAGTGCGATGCCTGATTGTCTCAGACTCTCTCCCGGCCCCGAAACCTAGTTCCTCTTTCAGTTGTGGGGGAAGCGGAACAGGTTTAAAGCGACACTCCACTCTTTTTGCAGTCTATGACCTTGGATTGTGAGTGAGTGAGCGAGTCGCCTAGTTTAGTGCTGATGTGTGGTGTTGTGTTGGTGTTGGCTTTGTGTTAAGGGAGACAGATGGGCTGATAATCAGCCTGTCATTGGGCCCGGATCTGAAGCCGGTTCCTAGAACAACAACATGTAATAATAAAAATAATAAACCTCATATTTGAAATCAGACCTTTGGCCTTTGGTACTATTCAAAAAGAGAAGGGAATTTCTCTGGGTCTTGGCCGACAATCTGTCTACCAGGAAAACGCATCTTTTCCCAGAGGGTAATTACCTAGAATGGATTGGCAGAAAAGGATGGTTAAAGCCAGGGCACTGGGTTCATTTTAGAAGCAACTCAATGCTATAACGGGAGGAAGGAAGAGTGAGCTCAAATAGGCCATAGGGCAATCATTTTTCATCCAAACCAATCTTGTGATCAATGGATTGGTGATTCACTTCATGACTGCTAGAGGGGCCTACAAATAGACAGTCACTGTACAGTAGTGGAGGGTAATTACTGAAAAGTTCTGTTCGGTGTGATGAAAGGCTTTTTTAAAAAAATAACAAATTCTCTGTTGTGTCCAGGCGGTTGGGATGGATTTAGACGATAATTGGAGGGCAGTGTAAATTCAAGGCAAGCCAGGCGTTCTTTCCCTCCTCATGGTTGTATAATTTAAGATGAGCCGAAATGGATGGAGCCTTGCGCAGCTTTGTGGTTCAGTAGCTCGTAAAGTGCACGAGAGCTGCTTATTTTAAAGTCTCTGGGCTTCCTGTGCTGAGTAAGAAAGTGGTTAGCGGGGTGGGGGAGGGGAGAAAGGGGGGTTACACCATCTCTCTCTCTCTCGCTCTCTCTCGCTTCACTCACTAGTCCTTTGCCCATATTTGGAGAATGCAGCGACGAGACTGGAGGTTATTTGAGGACGTTTATGGAGGGGATTGGGGGGGGCGGGGGGAAGGGGGGAAGGAAAGGGGCCTGCCTTTGATTGTCTCAGTGTAGGAGACATAATTTAATCCAGGAGGGGGCCTTTTGGAGTTTGGTTTCAGGCCCAGCTGTTATTACTCTGTGGCAGTCACAGTTAGCAAAACTCTTTAACTCCGCTTTGTGTATTTTTTTTTGCCAACTCTGTGCCCATTCAGGGGGTAAAAAGATTCCCACATACACAACCCCTACCAACAAAGGGCACAAAAGACTTGACCCACTGCGATGCAGGGAATGACTAGGAATTCGGTGGTGGGGGGGGCTATTTTCTACGATTGGGAATGCAGGAGATGGGGGAAGGGGTGGGCTGGGGGAGGGGGAAAGCTTCTTAATTTTTGAAAGGGAATATGTTTTTTTTTCCCTTTTTTAAAACTAAAGAGAGAGAATCTGGCAACATTCCACAATGGTGTAATTTAGAAGATGACGTGATGTGCTGGAAACATGACACGAGGAAAGCAGATTGACCGTATGGTCTCGTTTAAAGAAGGCTGGGGGAGTGGGGGCGCGGTGGGGTGGGGGGGGGAAGGTTGTGGAGGGAGGGAGGGCAGAGAAGAGAGGGGGAATGGGGCAGAGCTCAGAATGACTGTGTGTGGTTGGGTTGTGACTATAAAGCTCTGGAAACTGGAGAGGATGGCTAGCGAGCACTGCCTGGGACTTATCGTCTTATCAGAGTAAGTCACTACACTTCCAAGTGATGGAGACTTATCCCGAATTTCCCTGACGTGGGGAGCACTACTTCCTCCTGGCCATTGGAGACCGAGTATCTTGATTTGCTAGTTGACTGTTTTGTGGGGACGCTGCTGTGCGCAATTGTCTGCCGGGTTTCGCCCACACAATGTAGTCAATTCACTTTACAGTATCTGCTGATCAAATGCGAGGATTACTGTTATTATTATTGAACATATGAACAACGGGAATGGCCAACTTGAGGGCCGTATTACTCACGCGGAGAATAGTCACTCATGTCCTTTCGCATGTAGCCAGATGCTCAGCATCTTTAGGTACTTAAAGTAGCTCTGGAGAGATGCTGTCCCACAGCAAACCTGTGTTCAGAATCACTCATGCCTCGATGGTGAGGAACATTGATTCTGATGCATCGCCCCGTCAGGCCTCAATGCGTCTCACATGATAGGTCACTTTGAAGTGTAGTGACTTACTTACTTACATTGGCAAACGCAGCTGTGACCTTGAGCCGGTGATGTCCCACGGCAGGCAGTATAATGTGATGAATGATCCATTCTTCAGCCTTTAATTTTATTAAAACGAGGACAGGAAATCCAGCTTCTGTCGCTCTTGCCTGATCCTAACCCAACATCTTTATTCTGCGGTTCCGTCCTTGAAGGTTTCTTTCCTGCAGCCGGTTCCTATTCCTCCTTTGTGTTTCTGTTGGTTGGTTCCCGCTCTGGGGGATCAGATCATCCACCCACCCCTGTCCTCCCGGCAGCACGCTCCCCACTACATAATGTCCCCTCTGTTCCCTCTGCATGACCTCACAGCCTTTCCTTCCCCTTCGCTTCCCCTTAGCTCTCCATCTCCAGCTCCTTATGTTCTCTATCCATTCTCAATAATCTCAATGCTTTATGCCTCTCGTTCATGACCTACAGTCTTCCAGATACCTTATTTTTACCTTCCATCTCTAGCCTTGAGACCTCCTCCCAACATGAACGTCGCTATACAAATGTAATCAGTTGTTGTTGGTCTTGGGTTTGAGAACTTGCTTTGAATCCAAGCACTAAATTCATCCTCTTGGATTGAGCTTTCTTTTTTTGTTTGGTCAGCCGGGAGTCTGACACGTGCGGAAACCTATCACCAGGCTTAAGATTCTCAAACCCCCCCAAAAAAGGGGTTTTCATTATTCAGGACTGTATTGGATTTGGACAACAGGTTGGCCCAGATGGGTTTGATGGCAAATTCCCCATCTATATCCTTGTTGATGCTCACTGTTTAAGCCCACACATGAATAATGGCCACTTGGGTAACCAATTGGGAGGAGCTGTCTCCAAGCACAAGTCCATGCTTCAACGGGAGGGGGGGTGGGGGCAGGGAGGAGAGACATGTATAGGAACAGGAATAGGTCATTCAGCCCTTTGAGCCTGATCCGTCATTCTATTAGATCATGGTTGATCTGTACCTCCATTCCAATGAATCAAAGATGCCTTGGAGATGGTCCTGTTCGGAGTATAAACCAGATAGCTGTTTGCTCCATTCTCCCCAGTTATATTGCGGTCACATGGGCTGGTGGTTGTGGACATCATCCCTCATTGCGGTTCTGTGAAGAACAATGTGGAGATTGTCTTGGGGAACACTGCTCACTATTTATCAGTCGCCCTTCCCTTTCTCCCCACTTCCGCTCTTTCCTGGAAGAGAAGAGTTTCTGTGTATTATATATATTTATAATAAAAAAAAGCAAAGTGCATGCAAAAAAGAAAACGTCATCCTATTTTTGAAGAGTTTGCTGTTTCGGTTAAATATAAACCCTGTTGTGTAACGCACTCATGATCCTTGCCTGAAGAAGTCACTGACCCAGATTCTGAAGCTTTCCTCCTGCATAGTGTGGAGTGTTTTGTGTGCTGGAACTGTTAGGTGTCAGTTTGGCTCAGTTGGCAGCAGATGCAACTCTCGGTCAGAAGGTTGTGGGTTCAAAGCTTAGGACTTGAGCCCCGGCTGAAACTCCAGGGCTGTATCTCACCCTTTGGAAGTTCATCCCACAGTCTCTTCGCCTCGCTCCCTCCTTTGCCTCCTTCAAAGCCAGTCTCAAGACCCTCCTCTTCGACAGCACCTTCAGTCATCCTCCTACCCTCACTCTCCCTGCCCTCCACCCCTCCTGATCCCAACCCCCAGCTCGGGTCCAAATCCCTGACCGTCCACGCCTTGAGACGTCCTCCTGTCGAAATACGCGCTGTGTAAATGTAGTTTGTTGTTGTTGTTTGGGGAGGTCTCCCTTGTGGTCGCTGCTGTCCTTTGGTTGAGGCATCAAACCGAGGTCTCGTGTGTGTGTGTGTGTGTGTGTTCATGTGGTTGTTAAAGCGGCGCTGTTGGAAAAGTGAAGGGAGGTTCTCCCAGAGTCCTGGCCATCGATACCTTCGGATCAAATAAAATTGGCCATTTACTTCTTGGCTGTTTGAGGTGTAAGCTGAAACATCTCAATGTTGTTATTGTTATTATTGTTATTATTTATTCTCAGTATTATTATTATTATGTTGTGCGATGTCTCTGGATGATGGTACTTTATTGACGTCACCTCTCTCTCCCTCTCTTTCTCTCTTTCTCCGCAGGCTTTCGGAAACGCCAAAACAGCTCATAACAACAACTCCAGCCGCTTCGGAAAGTTCATTCAGGTCAATTATCTAGAAAGTGGAATCGTCAGAGGGTGAGTCCGAGCCCGTGATCTTTCACGGTTCAGCTTCCAGGTCGCAGATAAAGCCCTCCACCCCACGAAAAAAAATTCATTGTGTGGTTCAACGTCAAACCGAATTCTGCACAGATGGCAAGATATCGAACATGTCTCTCTGCTGGAGATTAACTCACCCTGGAGTCTGGGAATAAGACCCTGTGAGGCAAATCTGTTTCGCCCACAAAATACACAGTCACTCATTTTACAGTATATTCTGTGAAGCGCTTTGAGACATCTCGAAGACGTGATAAGGCGCTGTGTCAAAGGCAAAGATTATTATTATCCTCGCTTCGCCAGCCCGCTCGTAACTCGCCTTCTCCTGAATGTTTTCTCCGCATCTTTTCCAGGGCTGTGGTGGAGAAATACCTCCTGGAGAAATCCCGTCTGGTGTCCCAGGAGAACGATGAGAGGTAGGTTCAGTCCAGAGGTCAATGAGCTCTCCGCTCAGGCCGCGGTGACCTTAGATGACCTGCACTCGGGGGGTTGGGGGACTGTACGATCAAGTAAGAATACCCTTGAGGCTGACAGCAGCACATCAAAGCTTTGGGAAGGGGCCGGGGGTGTCTGCTTACCAGACTTCAATGGGCGGCACGGAAACAGGACATAGTAGGATCAATGGTCGTAGGGGTTTGATTCTCTCTCTCTCTGTCCACTCTGACGGAGGCTGTAGACAGATGGCTCACTCGATTTTCCTTCCAAAGCTTCCAGATTGTATTTCCACTCCGCCGGTTGATGGCTCAGATGTTTATTTAATATACCCCACTCCTGAATATGCGATGATATTATTCTCCCTGCCCTTTGGGAGCGAGGGGTGGGAGGTAGAGGGTACTGGAACTAAACTCTTGTCTTGAGCCAACATCTGAACCTTTAACTCTATTTTCTCTCTCCCTCCCTCCACAACCCACCCCCACTCTCCCTCTCTCACCTTCACCTCTCTCCTCTCTCGTTCAGAAACTATCACGTATTTTACTACCTACTGATGGGAGCCACAAAGGAGGAGCGTCGAGAGTTTCACCTGCAGCAACCGGAAAATTATTACTACCTCAATCAGGTACATCCCCTGCTTATAGTGTGAGAGAAAGGACATTGCCCTGAGCGCAAGAACCACTCCTTGCATTTGATGTAGCACCTTATTTGTGGAGTCCTGTAGCTCAGGGGTTAGAGCACTCGCCTTGCAAGCGAGAACCTGGGTTCAATTCCAGGCAGTGCGAAACCTTGGGCGAGTTTTCTTACTCCACACGTCTAATAATAATCCCTCCAAAACAATAATAAATTGGTCATTTCAATTCACGACTGTTTGGGGGACACTGCTGTGCGCAATTGGCTGCCGCGTTTCGCCCACAAATATACGGTCAATTCACTTTACAGTCTACTCTGTGGAGTGACTGTGTATTTTGGTAATTTTGTTGGCTGAGAGAGAAACTTCCTTCTCTTTTCGAATAGCGTCTTGGGATCCTTAAAATCCACCTGAACAGGCAGACAGGACCTTGGTTTAACATCTCATCCAAAGGACGGCACCTCTGATAATGCCGCACACCCTCAGCACTGCATTGGGGTGTCAGTTTACGCTGTGTGATTCCAAGTCCTGATGTGGGGCTTGACCCCTCAACCTCCTGACCTAGAGGGGAGAGTGCTGCCACTGAACCAGACTGACACATTTTAGCTTAAAGATGATCAAAGGAGACCAATGAGACCACAAACCTATTGACCACTGTTACTGTGCCAGTGGGCTCCCCCGGTTTGTCCTTTGGCTGTTTCCTCCTGTGCCCACATTGGGACACCTGAATAGCATTAGGGCCAAGTTGTGTGCCAGTCGCTTTGTGAGATGCTAATCTGTGCCTCTGCTCCTGTCCCCCCAGAAGCTCAATTTCTGTATAGACGACGGGGAGGATCTGAAGCATGACTTTGAGCGTCTCAAACAGGCCATGGAGATGGTGGGCTTTCTCCATGCAACCAAAAAGCAGTGAGTGTTTCCTCCGGACCTTGTTATTTCGCCATATTTGTTTTACTCGTCTTTTCTTTGAGAAAACCATTGGTAACTTCCACTCTCCTCGCCCCTCGCATCGGAAGGACATCTCAAAAGCGCTTCACAGGGTTAAGTGGATTCGTTCGTCCCCAACTGTTAAACACATCCTTTCCACGTTTTGCCGAATGTTTTCCCAGGATATTCTTGGTGCTGTCCGCGATCCTGTATCTGGGCAATGTTACTTATAAGAAGAAAGCCACAGGGAGAGACGAGGGTCTGGAGATTGGGCCCCCCGAAGTCCTGGAGACTCTCTCACAGCTTCTCAAGGTAGGTCTAAAGAGCGACAGAACTTACGGTGTGGTTTATCCTATCTCCGAGTTCTGGGCAAGTAATTACTGTTGTGTGTAGTGACTGTTTTATTAGGCAACTGCGCCAGCTATTAACACAGCCACGAGGGTGAGGTCCAGCCACTTGGATTAACGCCATGGGATCTCTAATGCCCACGTGAACAGATAGGAACAGACTCGATTCAGTGGCTTATCCCTTGGATAAGGGATAAGTCTTCAGTGGCTTAATAATAATAATCCCTCCAAACAAAAAACAATAATAAATTGGTCATTTTCAATCCACGACGGTTTGTGGGACACTGCTGTGTGCAATTGGCTGCCGCGTTCGCCCACAGTCAATTCCCTTTACAGTCTATTCTGTGAAGTGCTTTGAGACATCTAAGAAGACGTGAAAAGCGCTATATCAAATGCAAGGATTATTATTATTATCCAAGGGATGGACAATGCTGGTCCATCCACTCCCCACACTACACTAGAGTGTCAGAGGAGCTTCATGGGGCTTGATCCCACAACCTCTAACTCATGTGCGAGTGACTGAGCTACAATACAGTGTGTTACACGTTTGAGATGTTCCCCAGCGACTCTCTCCGCTCTGGATCTTTCGTGTTAATTGCTCCGTGTCCATCTCCGCAGGTGAAGCAAGAGATGTTAGTGGAAGCGTTGACGAAGAGGAAGACAGTGACGGTGGGCGAGAAGCTGATTCTGTCGTACAGCCTCAATGAGGTGAGTTGTTGTGGAAATGGATTGCGACTCGGTCGGTTGGTCACACAGAGACCAGGTTTCACCCACAAAATATCCAGTCAATTAATTCACTTTATTCTGTGAAGCGCTTTGAGACGTCTCGACAACGTCAAAAGGCAATGATGATTATTATTATATTATTATTGTCCTGTAGTCAGCCAGTCAATCAGACACTTAACACAGAGGTAAAGTAGTCTTGTCCTGGGGTCAGTCAGTCAGTAACCAGAGGCAGGGTTTCCGTGTTAACTGTATCTGACCATTCTCGCTGTGTGCTTTCTTATTCTCCAGGCTATTACCGCCCGGGACTCCATGGCCAAATCCCTGTACAGTGCTCTGTTCGACTGGATCGTGCTTCGCATTAATCACGCCCTACTGAACAAGAAGGACCTGGAGGAGTCTGTTACGGTAATTATTCTCGAGATTATCCCAGGCAAAAATAATAAACGTTCGGGTGTTTTTTTTTTTTTGTTTGTGTGGTGTTTTTTTTATTCCTGAACGAATTTTGCTCCGGGGTTGAGGGAGTTCCTCGCGCTCTGACCTCTTGCTCTGCGTTTCTGGTCTCCTGCTCAGTGTCTGTCCATCGGCGTCCTCGATATCTTCGGCTTCGAAGACTTTGAGAACAACAGCTTCGAGCAGTTCTGTATCAACTATGCCAACGAGCAGCTTCAGTATTACTTCAATCAGCACATCTTCAAACTCGAGCAGGTGAGCCGGCCAGCTTTCAACTCCCCACCTCATGGCCATGGCCTTCGAGCTCCACCATGGCCTTGGCCTTTGACACCCCACCTCATCATTGAGTGAGCCCCCACCCCACCCCACCTTACGCTGTGTAACCGAGTTGGGTACGGAGGCTCATACTGTGCCAAGTCTTGCGGCTGACGGTGGTCACTGTGACAATCGGGGAAGGGGAGGGTGTATGTGTCACTGGGCAGGGATGGTCTACACACCATCAGATGCTCCTTCCCCTCATTCCCCTGGGGAAGGACCTCACTGGTAATAATGTGGTCGGTTATTCCCCCCCCAGAGATTTTACAACAGTCTCTCTCTATCTCTCTCTCTTAATCTTTCTTTCTCACTCTCTTTCTGACTCCTTGCTCTTCATCTCACTCTCTGTCTCTCTTTCTCACTGACTCACTGACTTTCTCACATCCTGTCACTCTCTCTCTCTCTTCTCGCTCCCTTTCTCTCCCGCTCACGCCCGGTGTTTGCTGCGCAGGAGGAGTACCAGAGCGAGGGCATCACATGGCACAACATCGACTACACAGACAACGTGGGCTGCATCCACCTGATCAGCAGGAAGCCAACCGGCCTCTTCCACCTTCTGGACGAGGAGAGCAAGTACGAATTCACACAATCATGGAATCTTACAGCCTAGAACAAGGCCATTCGGCCCATCGTGTCTGTGCTGGCTCTTTGAAAGAGTTACCAACTAGTCCCACTCCCCACCCACCACACTTTTAGCCCTGCACATTTTTCCTTTTTTAGATACTTATCCAGTTCCTGTTTGAAAGCTATTATCAAATCTGTTTCCACCAGCCTCTCAGGCAGTGCGTTCCAGACCGTAACAACTGGGTATTGGGGAGGGGTGGTGCGGGTGGGTCACTGTGTCCAGTGACTGGGTGGTGGATCTATGTGGTGGGTCACCTGCAGAGATTAATCAACAAGATCTCTATGCCTCCCTCTCTCTCTCTCCCCCCACCTCTCTCTCTCTCTCTCTCTCTTTCTCACACTCTCTCTCGCAGTTTCCCGCACGCCACCAATCAGACGCTTCTCGCCAAGTTCAAGCAGCAGCACGAGGACAATCGCTACTTTGTGGGGACCCCGGTGATGGAGCCGGCCTTCGTCATCCAACACTTCGCCGGGAAAGTCAAATACCAGATCAAGGTACAAACTTGCTCTGCGAGGGTCTGCGTTCTCTCATTGGATTGGAAGCAGGAACCCTTTTCTATCTATGGATAAGTTTCCTTCCTCTAACCCCCTCCCTCTCTCTCTCTCTCTCTCTGTCACATTCTCTTTCCCTCCCACTCATTATCTCCACCCCCCACACCCACACTCCCTCTTCCCCAGGATTTCCGGGAGAAGAACACGGATTACATGCGCCCAGACATCGTTGCGCTCCTTCGGAGCAGCGACAGTGCTTTTATCCGGGAGTTGATCGGGATGGATCCCGTCTCTGTATTCCGCTGGGCCATCCTCCGAGCGACCATTCGAGCGACCGCCGCATTCTGGGACGCTGGGCGCCGGGAAGCCCAGAACCACGCAGGTTCGAGTCACCTTCAAACCACAGCGACAATAATATAATACAAATTAATCATAATAATAATAATAATCTTTGCAATTTGATATCGCAGCTTATCACGTCTTCAAGACGTCTCGAAACGCTTCACAGGATTTACTGCAAATTGTAGTGACTGCGGGTTTTGGGGATGAAACGCGGCTTCAAATTGCGCACAGCAGAGTCCCACAAACAGCCATGGATTGAGCGATCAAATATATATCTTTTTTGGGGGTGGAATATTACCCCTGGAAAGTGATCCGCCAATCGACGCACAACTGGGTTCCTTCTTGCTGTTCGGTAAATAGAGGTGAAGGAAACTTGCCTTAGGTTTCGTTTCTTAAGTTTCCAGCGCTTTGGGATGTGGTGGTTGTTGTAGTTGTTCTGCCCAGGAATCGAAATTGGGCCGAAAGGTCTTCTTCACCCAAACCTCTCGTGATTTTGTGCCCAAATCTCTCTCTCTTTCTCTTTCTTTCCCGGCAGGAGTCATGCGCCGAAAGCCACGTGTTCCACTCGGAGAACTTCAAAGGGCGAACACTCCAGCAGAGAAAGTCTATCGGTAAGACACAAGCGAGGGTCTATGGTGGGTTGGTGAGAGGAACTTGTGTTGGGTTTCCATTGCTTTGGTTGAAGGTCAGAACCTCCCCTTCTGCTCCCTGACCTCACCCTGAACACTCGCACCTTTCAGCTATGAGTCACAGAATGAACATAGGAACAGGAGTAGGCCATTCAGCCCCTCGAGCCTGTTCCGCAATTCTATTATTTCACGGCTGATTTGTACCTCAACTCCAAATGCCCTCCTTTGCCCGATATCACTTGATACCCCGACCCAACAAAAACCCATCCACCTCAGTCTTGAATGATGAGCAGGAACATTGTCGAGCTAACTCCAACACCCCCATCCCTCCCTTCTCTCCACCCAGTAAACTTGAAAATGCTGAGGCTAACTGGAGGAACCTGGTGAGGCTGGTGGCAGCCCAGTGAAGGGTTGCTCTCAATGCCAAACCTTTCTCTGACTGTATGGTTGGCTTTCCCTGAAAGGCCTGTGCTCAGTGTGAACATAACATCATCACGTCAGTGAGAAGGAAGTCTGATTAAACCACAAGAGCTGTGCACCCAACCCCGAGTGAGTCATTGAAATGTTCAGTGACCAAGGCTGACTTCTGCTTTCTCCTACTTTGGGATGTTCGCTGTATCTGTTGAAGCCACAAACGTGGAACAAAACAATCAATGAATTGTTCAATGAAATCTTCACGACTGTTACTCACTTTCCCAACCACCAAACATTTGCCTTCTGTTGTTCAGAAGCTTTGTTCTCTTCTCTCTCCCCCCCCCCCCCCCCTCCTCTCCAGTGTCTAACCTCCCACAACGTTAAACCCATAAGTGACTGATTAAGTGGCCATAAGGAGTTCCTGTTTGTCCAGTGGAGTAAAGGTTAAAGCATAAACGGGAGAGAGGGAAGTGGGTAGAAATGCTATCTTTGAATGTGACTGTGTCAAAACATTCAGCTCTATGGTGTGTGTGTGTGTGTGTGTGTGTTAACGGAATCTATCTCGGAGTTGGTTAATGCTTAAAAAGCAGATTTCTTCCCCAAGAGGGCGCCAGAGAGGGGCAGAAATAACAGCCCCTCCTGGTGGCCGGACACGTTGTTGCACCATTTGAATTTACTCCACGGATCTTCTGTTTGATGTCAGCGGGTGAACGAGAGGCCTCCAGGTTAGACAGATGATTTGAGCAGAGGTTGAGAGGTCTAATGTTCAGCCTGCCTGTATTCTCCTGTTGTTTTGCAGCCGCTCTTTACTCGATTTATCTTTTGAAACCTCTTATGAAGATTTCAGTTTTGAGGCACTCGAAGACATCTTTGCCTATTATGACGGCAAAAAGTAAGTAAGTGGAAGGATCCTCTTTAACGGGGGCCACTGGTGGAGGCAAAGTACCTTCGCAACGCTGTGTGTTTGCACAGTTAGTTATCTTCTGGGCATGTTCACCACAGACACCATGCCGCCCTCCCTCAGATCACATGGGTGCAGTTTCCTGACGAACGTACACATGATGCAACATTGAGCTCACTTTGTGTGGCTGATGTCTGTCTTGAGAGGCTCTTATATTAGTTACGCCTCTCTCCCATTGCATTGCTTCAAATAAGAGAGGGTGGGTTAGGCGGGGGGTGGGGGGGGTGGGGGGTGGGGGTGGAGTGGGTACCGTCAGATTTTTCTAGGAGATAAGTAATGCATGTGGCCAGAATTCACAGGAGCATGGAATGAGACCAGATTTGGAGCATGGTGCATGAGGACCCAAGATTCCTAGGTCATTCGAGTAAGAATGTCAATGACGCATGGTGCATGGAATGGTGAAAGAAACCAATCAAACGGCAGGGCAGCCTCCAAAGGAGAAGGTGCAAACAGCCACGGCCGTGGTCGAATCCATCGACGGTTCACAGTTTTAACCGCGTGTTTATCCTCTATAAGGCAGGAGATGAAACGTGAAGTTTGTGAGCGAGGAAGTTTCTTTTAACGCCTAGCGTTCTCTTTCCAAAGAGAGAGAGAGAAAGAGAGCCTGTCTTGAACCTTTGGCAAGTCCGTCCGGTGGCTGATGGTGGCTCGGGTTCTGTTGCGAAGTCTCTCGCTGCTTTGTGGTGAGGTGTTAACCTGCTCGGGAACGTGGGCTGAGGGTTTTACATTGCAAACTGTGACCGCACTGCCCGCCTAAGTCTGTTTGGGTCCTACTTCCTGTGGAGGCTGCCCGGCCCGAAACATTTGTGATTCCTTTGGTGATTGGGTGCTTTTACTAAAAAGTCCTTTTTCCTGTCCATTTCTCTCTCGCTTTTTCTCTTTTGCTTTCTTTCCCCTTACCCCTACCCCCACCTCTCTTTCTTCCCTCCCTCCCTCTTCCACCCTCTCTGGTGCTCTCTCTTCCCCCCCCCACCTCCCTCACTCTTTCTCTCCTCCTCTCCCTCCCCCTCTCTTTCTTCCCATCTTCTCTCCCCTTCTCCCTCCCTCTTCCCCACCCTCTCTTCTTCCTCCCTCGGTACTCTCAACCAGCGAGTTGCACGCACAGGTCATGAGGAATATTCGGGGACGTGCTCAGTACAGTGAGGACCCACAGAGTCTTCTCAAACCACTGCAACGTCTTGAGCGACCCCACAGCCATCTCGTGTGAGTTGTCTTCCTGCTGCTTCACAACCACCTGCCAGAACCCTGCAACCACGAGCCTCCCCACAACAGCAACAGCAGCACCACAGCTTCAGTTCAGCCTCACTCTCGTCGCTGAAACAGCTAAGCCCTGCTTCCTATGGCCCTGATTCTATTTGTTACTCTCCACACTTTCTGTGTGCGCTTCTTTGCGCCAATTTTCGTTCCCACACGAAAGGTCCACCCACACGTAGAGCAGGTTAGATGCTCTTGAATGCTCTGAGAGGCTACTGTTTTGTTGAGCGTGGCGATTCATTTTCTCCACCACACCCCACTCACCACCACCACTCTAACCACTACGCGAGGAGAGTGGTTAGAGTTAGGAGTGGTCTCTTCTAGCCCAAAGATGTAACGTTCGGTACAACAGTACCTGTGATTCCCATTGCTCTCGGAATGGGGTGGATTTAAAGAGCAAAGTAGAGTTGATGGAGGAAAAGGAAGAGCATTGGGAGGGGTGGAGGGGGTGGGTGGTGGGGGGAGAAACTGTGATCCCAGTGAAGAGAAGTTAGTGTTCATGTGTTGAGGGTGTCCTTCTGGGGCTATTCTGGACCTCTGGAACCCCCAACCCACCCCCTGAAATGTTTTGCACCCTCAGAAAAGTATCCAACCAAACCATTCATTCTTCCTCTTGGTGTCTTCCATCTCTTAGTGACCTTCTTCCTATCCGTGCAGTGCATTGTTGGACAACCCATTCCCACCCTGACTGCTCGCTCGCTTCACTAACCTTTAACCTCTCTCCCTCCTCTCTCCCCCCCCCCCCCCCCCACCCCGTCTCTCTCTTAGCAAAAGAAATTTTTTATTCTAAACTTTTGATATTTCAACAGGAAAAATAAAAGTTTTAAACCGAAGCAGGTCATTCCAAAGGTAACTTTTATTTTTTATATCTTTATTTTTTTTGGGGTCTCATTCTGTAAACGTTACTTTTTGACGTGCGTCTTAGAACAGTGAGCGTAATGATCTCTTCATCGCGGCCTTTAGCTCGTTCCTCAATGTCCAGTAGACACTCAACATTGTCGTGTGTGAAATAAAAAGGAACAGAGTCCTTATAGCTCAGTGGCTCGGGCACTCGCCTCGCAAATGAGAGAACCCGGGTTTGATTCCCGGCAGGGAGAAACCTTGGGCAAGTTTCCTGGTTCCACACACCTCTTTAAACCGGTAAATAGGAACAAGATTGTTAAGTCGATTGGCGGACCACTTTCTGGCGGTAATAATCCCTTCAAATAAAACTAAGACGAATTTGGTCACTCAACCCACGACTGCTTGTGGAACGCTGCTGTGCGCAATTGGCTGCAGCGTTTCACCCACAAAATAAACAGTCACTCCACTTTACATTGTATTCTGTGAAGCGCTTTGAGACGTCTCAACGACGTGATAAGGCGCCGTATCAATTGCAAGGATTATTATTATCATTATTGTTACAGTAAACGTGACCTGGGCTCTCGTTAATCCTTTCCCTCGCTCCCTCTCTCCACCCTGTCCCGTCCTCTCCAGAACCTGATGGACTCGAGTTCCCTGAAGCACATAGTCCGGATGACGCTGTACGATCGCACAACCAAATCCCTGCTTCACCTGCACAAGAAGAAGAAGCCACCGAGCATCAGCGCACAGTTCCAGGCAAGTACAGAGCCCTCGGCACAACCTCTCCACACCCTGGCCATCCCCACCTCTGCCCTCTGCAGCCGTGCTTTCAGCCACTGTTGCCCCGAAGCTTCGGAACTCTCCCCCTCAACTCTTCCGCCTTGCCCCCTCCTCTCGATCACAACTGAAGACCTTCCTCTTTACGGGCACCTCCTCCCTCCCTCCGGCTCCACCGCTGACAACAACAACAACAACAACTTGTGCCTTTTGCGCGGGTTCGGCGTGAAAGACGCTGTATAAAATGCGAGCTGCTGTCGTTGCCTCCCCCATTTTCTCCCCTGTATCTCAGCCCGGTCTGTGCCCGACAATGTGGGACTGTGTCTGAGTTCCTCAACATTTTAAAAAAAAACATTTGCTCAACACTTTTTATTGTGTTGTTAAAACTCATTGAAAACAAACGGTCTCCAGCCAACAATGGGCACAGGAGGGGGAGAAGTGGGGTGGGGGGTGGGAGGTGCGAGAGGGGATTTCATGTATGCTTATCGTTTATAAATTATAAAGTGTCAAAAATCTAGCAGACAGGAAATTAACCAGACGCCTCGTAGCCATAAAAAAACAATTTGATCGCTCGATGCACGAGTGTTTGCGAGACACTGCTGTGCGCAATTGGCTGCCGTGTTGGCCCACAAAATACAGAGTCGATCCACTTTACAGTGTAATCTATGAAGCGCTTTGAGATGCCTCAACGACGTGACAAGGCGCTGTATGAAATGCAAAGACAATTATTATTGTTGTTATATTCCTCCCAATAGTAATCGGATTGTCTTAAATAGTAGAGAGGTCCGTCCCTCAGTCACACAGATATTACAATATTTACTCTTTCCACCCTGTTGACGTTACCCTAATGGCTAGTGAGATAGACAGACTCCTGCCCTGGGATAGTTTAGTTACGGAATTTCTGGATCTTGTGCGAGGAATTTAATTTGTTTGTCTGTTCCTCTACCTCTCCCCCCCCCTCTCTCTCTCTCTCTCTCTCTCTCTCTCAGGCCTCTCTGAATAAATTGATGGAGACGCTGGGAAAAGCCGAACCCTTCTTTATCCGATGTATCCGTTCAAATGCCAAAAAGGTAAAAGGGGGGAAAAAAAGTTGGGGAAACGATTCCGCTTCTCGGTTGCCTCTCTTGTCTCTGAGTATTTAGAGCGCTCGCCTCGCAAACAAGAGGACCTGGGTTCGATTCCCGGGCAGAGCGAAACTTTGGGCAAGTTTCCTTACTCCACAAACACACACACACACCTCTGTTCACTAAGCAGTAAGTAAGAACCCAGTTGTTAGTCGATTGGCGGATTGCTTTTCCGGGGGCAATAATCCTTCTAAAAATAACAATAATAATGATTTGATGACTTAATCCACGACTGTTTGTGGGGACACTGCTGTGCGCAGTTGGCTGCCGTGTTTTGTCCACAAAATGCATTCAAGAGTCAATTCACTTTGCGGCGTATCCTGTGAAGCGCTTTGAGACGTCTCGGTGACATGATAAGGCGCTGCGTCAAATACAAGGTTGATTATTATTGTCATTATTGTAATGTTCCCGTTCTCCGCAGTCGGAGCTGTGCCTGGATGATGAACTGGTTCTTCAGCAGCTGAAGTACACGGGAATGCTGGAGACCGTTCGCATCCGCAGGTCGGGCTACAGCGCCAAGTACACCTTCCAGGTAAGCGGTTCGAGCGGAGAGAAGAGGAAAGGCAGCAGTTTCTCTTTAATTCACTGACCAAAAGTATCCCCAGAGAATGACTGGATATCTTTTGCAGTACCCCAACCCTGTGCACTCTTGTGGACGCTTGTTTGTTTGTACGTGTAATTGTTTTGCCCACAAAATACGCAGCACATTGCGAAATTACGTTTGTATAGCGCCTTTCACGTCGGGAGGACGTCCCACAGTACATTCGGTGAAGCGCTTTGAGATGCCTCAAAGATGTGATAAGAGCGTTAGATCGAATGCAAAGATTATTATAATCTGAGACTCTTGTCACAATGTGAAGGGCGCTATGCAAATGCAAGTTGTTGTTGAGTTGAGATGGTGAGGATCGATCGTGCTTTCCTCTTGGAACGTTTCGAAGCTCATTCAGTTTCGCATCCTTTTCTTTCCCGTTCCAGGAGTTTGTGAATCAGTTTCAGGTCTTGCTGCCCAAAAACCCCAAGCCAGCACAGGAAGCCATCAGCACCCTGTTCCATAAGATGGGATTGAATCGGGAAAACTGCCAGATCGGGAAAACAAAAGTAAGTTTCACCCCAGCGACGAGGAACCACTTAACACACTCTCATTCGCCCACAAAACACACAGCCGCTACACTTCACAGTGTATCCTGTGAAGCGCTTTGAGACGTCTCGAAGACATGATGAGGCGCAGTATCAAATGCAAGGATTATTAGACATAATTCGTCCAGAGATAAGTCTTTACAACAACAACAGCAGCAACAGCTTGCATTTATGTGGCGCTCTTCACGTGGGACGGAGTCTCGGAGCACTTTACTGGGATAACTGAATATTTTCATCGTGGCACACGGAGCAATGAACAGACCTAATTAGTGTTCGGGCAGTCTTCAAGGGGTTATATTGCTTCAGTAGAACAGGTTTCCCCCACGCTCGGTGGCTCTCAGTGTATAATATTGGTGCCCCGACTAGTGCCTAAAACAAGTACACCGGTCCTACAGTTTTTACACTGTTACTTTAGGTGGTCCCTGACCTTGAATTTGTGGTATTTTCCACCCTTAGAAGGGTAGAGAGCAGTTCAGCATAAGCCAAACCTTCTGCTTAATCTCCGCTGGGCTTTTGTTCAGTGCTGAACCAGCGAGCGAAAGGCTGTTACTAGTTGTGCTGATCTGTTCCGCTCCTGCCTCTCCCTTCGCCAGGTGTTTATGAAGGAAACTGAGCGTCAGAAGCTCCAGGACACTCTGCACAAGGAAGTCATGCGGAAAATCATCCTCTTGCAAGGCTGGTTTCGAGCCGTCCTCGAGAAGAGACGGTTCGTGAAAATGAGACAAGCGGCCATCACCATACAGGTGTGTGTAGGGTGGGGTTCTGCCCTATAAATGTTCTATCTTCTCTCTTGCTCCTCCTGCCTCCCCTAAACCTCCGGTAGTTATTTTCCCCTCGAGGTCACTGACTTGTGCTGCTGTGACTTTGCCTATAAGGTGGATCCTTCTCATCAGTCCCTTTACCCTCCTCTGCTTGTGTCCCGCTGTAGGCGTCCTGGCGATCCTACCAGGTAAGGAGGTTCTTGCAAAGGAACACAGCAGCGGCCGTCATCCAGGTCTCCTGGCGAAGATGTTGCCGTCGACAGAAACACCGTCAGCAGAAACGATCGATCCAGCTGTTCCAGTCAGCGAGTCGAGGTTATCTCGTACGGAGGAGGTTTGTTCCCCCACGTAGACAGATTCTTTTTATTATATTATGGTAATAATACCTTGGGGTGTTCCGGGTTATCCGCCAAATCAAGAGGTAACTTAACGTTTGTGCATTTGACCCTTTAATTAATTGTGATGACCGGTTGATTCATCTTTCATCATTGCCAGAATGTGGGAGTGGACAGATGGCAATCAGTGTTTTGCTTTACTTCAAATTGGGTCCAAACCAATTGCCTGTCACAGGACACCTTACAGAGGTGCGCTGCTGCCAGTACTTTCCCAACCAATCCAGAGTTTACAATAATACAGTAATAATCAAGCGCTTTGGGACGTTACCTTGTGTGAAGGACGCTATAAAATGCAAGTTGTTGTCATTTAGACAATACACAGTATACAGAGCAATACTTTCAGGTACACCACGGATGAGAAGGGCATTTTGAGAAGTATTTTTTTACGCAGAGGACATTTAAGAATTGATTTAAGAAAAAGGTTGACCTGGTGATGGGAGGACAGTGGGATGGGAGTTCTGGAAAGGTCAGATCAAATGGGGTAAAGGGGTTTCCTCCATTCAGACGTGTTTCTTGTCGGGCCGATTCTTAAATAGGGTGTCATTCTGCGCTTTGATCGACAGCTTACGTTTGAAGAGCGAGGAGGAGCAGAGAGCTCGAGAGAAAGCCAGGCAGGAGGATGAGGAACGGGAAGCCCAAACGAGGAAGACGGCAGCTGGTTCCCATAAACCGGAGCGGAGTACGGTCGAGGGGGAATCCGAGGCCGTGTTCCGGTCCCTCGCTGCAGAATCCTCGGAGCCGGAGCCTCCGTGGCTGGGAAGCGAGCTGACTCCAGGCCTGATGGAGAACGGAGAATCTCAGGAGCAGCTTTCGAAATCCCAGGAAAATACGTCGGGGGCACAGGGCACAGAGCGGACCAGCGCCAGCCGGGAGAAGCGGGAAAACCGGCGCATACGTGGGCTGGAACACGAGAAGTTCCAGCGTCGCCTGGTCTCCCCTAACCCCGAGGAGACAACCTCCCACTTCCCGCCGCCCCCACTCCCCTCTGGAACCAGAGAGCAAGAGGTTAAAACCATCGACATTGTGGAGAAGATGGCGCAGAACGCCAACAAAGTGGGTGCTGTGGAGCCCGGGAAGCCGGAGGCGGGGGCAGGGGTGGTAAGTACGAACGAGTTCCTCCAGGAAAAGGAAATGGCCTCCAGCAGGAAAATACCCAAGGGTTTCGTGAATGAACTGAGGAGAATGGACGAGGAAGTGGCCAATCAGAAACGGAACCATCAGCCCCCTAGTCAATCGCTTCGGCCAACAAGTCTCCCCCTGAAAACCAGCCCTTGCCCTGGGCAAGTAACTCTGACCAGATCGTTCTCCCAGTCTTCAGACCAAGAGGAGGTTGAGCAGAGACCAGACAGTCCCGGAGCCCATCAGGGAGCCATCCATCGCTACAATGACAAGGGGGAGCTGAGGAACAAGGCAGAGAAGTGGAAAGACAGGAGGCAAGCAGAGACGGTCACCCCAACGATGCCCAAGAAAGAAGCGATTGTCGTGAGGAAGGAAAGCCAAGTGCAGATGAAAGACTTGAAGTGAGTTTGGTGAAGCTCTGGGCTGTGGCTGGGACCACAGGGGGCAAATGGGAGGGCGGGAGGGGGTTGGTGGGGCAGTTCTTCTTAAATGAGCTTTATTCCCAGCGCTCTGGGATGTCTTTCTGAAGTGAAGGGCCCTCTACAAGGGTCATTTTTTATTGTTGCTCCGAATGGAATAGGAGTCATAGCAGCCGTGTACTAGAGATTGGGGGGGGGAGCTGTTGAGGGAATCTTTTTGAGTTGCTGATAAGTGAACGTTGGGGAAGGGGGAGATATGTTCTCACGGCCTCTGTTCAATTATGTTTCAATTCCCAACAGGAACAAGGAAATCTCATCTCCTCAGGACGAGGGTACAAAGCAGAACCCTGGGAGCCCCCAGAGAGAGGTAGTCGCGTTTTCTCATCGTATAACGGGGCAGGTCGGCAGGCGGGTGGGGAGGCATAGCTCAAATTGGGGATAATAATCCCTTCAAAAAAAAAATCCACGACTGTTTGTGGAGACGCAATTGGCTGCTGCGTTTCGCCCACAAAATATACAGTCAATTAATTTGACAATATATTCCCTGAAGCGCTTTGAGAGGTCTCGAAGACGTGATAAAGTGCCATATCAAATACAGTGATTATTATTATAATTATTATTAATTTCAAAGGAATTCCTCAATTAAGGATCCCGAGTGGGGTTAGGGTTAAGCCTCCAAAATGGCCACTTAACAGCAGCGTTCCTAGGAGATGCCGTGATTGACTGCAATCTGCATTCCTTATTCAAGCCATTGATGTGTTTACTGTGTGAGTAGTGAGAAGACGACTGAGACATTCTGGCTGTCTCGTGGCTTGTGGTGAAGGGGTAGCAGTGAGAGGTAGCGGTGATTGAGTATGGAATTGTCTGATGGAGAGAGAGACAGAGAGGGGGGGGATGGGGGGAGGGCTTTGAGGCAATGTAGTGGGAGAATTTCGGGAATGGAAAAAAAAATGAAGCTATTTTAATGGAAAACACTCTTCCATCAAAGGTGCCCTACTCTACACCTTGTTAGGAGGGTGGGCGAGGCTGTGCCCGCTGAGAACATGGAATAATAGCATGAGCTGCCCAGGCTGGTGTGTGGGTACAAGTTGGCTGTGGGAGGTGTGGCTACTAACAACCTGAGACTCAATGGATGAGCCAAATAAGTGATGGAGAAGGGAGGCGGGGGGGGTGACATGGTTCACTGGGGGAATGAGGGGCAGAGATATGCCACCTCTCTCTCTCTCTCCCCCCTCCCCCCACCACCACCACCACACACACCAGCCCACAGCCCCTTACCCACACTCACCGTGCTGTCCTGCCCCCTGTAATTGAGCCAGGATGGATCGAGCAGAGCCAGCTGGTGCCCATTAATCTGCTCCGAAACGGTGGAAAAAAAACCAACCTCAGCCCGACCCAAAGGGCTATTTTTAACATGTGGTCCGTGCTATTTGGGTCAGGCAGGGCGTTGCCCCACAGCTGGGTGCCGGAAAGAATTTAGAGACAACTTCCCATCCTCTCGAGCCAGACCTTACTGTTTTCGCAGTGAAAGTCACTTCGAAGTTTCGATCTCCGGGGTTCGTGGGATCCTGCGTTGCCAAGTGTGTGCGCGCACGCGTGTGTGTGTTACCAACAACCCACCTTTTCCCTCCGCACGGCAGGCACTGGCCTGCTTCACGCCCCCGCCCTGCCCGTCCACTCAACAGATCAATCTCTGAATCCCTTCGCCTTGCCCATTCCCTCGCCTCCTTCAAGGTCCATCTCAAGACCTTCCTCTTTGACCCCACCTTTGGTCATCTTCCCAACCCAACACCTCTTGGATCCAAACCCCAACTCGGGTGCAGACCCTTGATTGTCCAGCGCCTTGGGACATTCTCCCAACATGAAAGGCAGCTATATGATTGCAATCTGTTGTTGCCATGGGAGAGCTCGATGTATGAGAGGGTTAACTTGTGGGCTGCTTTGCCTTAGAGAATTCTTTCCTTTCCTAATTTAAAGACGAGGCCCCTGGATTTGAATTCATAAGTTAAACCTTTGAATAATAATTCAATCACGTGCCTGTCGGATGTCTCACGGGCATTTTTCTCGTGGCCTGCTGCGTGCGGACCCACTCCAGCCAGTCAAGTATTAATCGGGGTTTGGCAAAGGTTTACTTACATTTTTAAAAAAAAAAGGCTCCATATCGTCACTGGAGCCTTTCTCAGTCGTTCCTCATGAATTACACTCTGGCAGAGCCAAGTGGTGCTTAGTGTCAAAGAAGGGGATATCACGGGTGTTTACCGTCAAAGATTTGTGGTGACTTCTTCTGAAGGGAAGCTTCCTTCAGCGTCCGGCTGACGGACGCTGTATTTTGTTTGAGCTATTTTCCTCTTTTGTTAACTTGTCTTTCAGCATGGACGCTGCTGTGCTCTCTTTTTATATGAATGTACGTTTTTGCCCGAGCCGCTACCCCACATGAAGGGAGCTAGATATAAATGCAAGTTGTTGTCATTGTTGTTAACCTTTCCCTTTAAATCTAACTTGCTACCCTCCGTGTCTGAAAATTTGTGTATATTTAGTTTTGGGGGGAAAAAATTGGGCTGGACAGGACAGTGCTTCATGGGAAGGGTGTCTACTGGGTCAGGATGTATTGTGGGTCGAGACCTGCTGTCTTCCCATCCCACAGACACGGTGGGTGGAGGGTGTCTCCTGTCTCCTGTCATCCCAGGGTTCCAATGACCATTGCCCCCTTGCCGTTCCCAATTATTGATCCTAAACTTTTTTTGGGGAAAAAAACATGATTTTCGGGCCTGGTTGGTTCTGTGCTATGCCGTGGCCTCTGATGGTCTCTCGCTTTTCCAGGCCCCGGCCGACGGGCATCAGGAAGCTGACAAGACCACCACCAAACATCTGGTGCAGAAGAAAAGTTCCCAAGAACACGTGGATGTCGGACAGGTGGACCCTCCCAAGTAGGTCCAAGGATTTCCAGGCTCCTTTTTTCGCGCTAACATTGGTCGCCCCTCAGCCTGTGGGTGGCTTCTTCTTTGTGGTGGGGGCTTTACACTTTGTCTGAACACCCCAAAGCGACATTGTAATTCCTGCCAATCTCCCCCCTCCACTACCTCACCAAACCTCCTCCATCTCTCTCCTTCACCCTCTCCTCACTCCTCTAGTGAAGCGCTTTTGAGACGTCTGAACGACGTGATAAGACGCTGTCAAATTCAAATGCAGGGATTGTTATTATATCTGAAGCTGTTTAATCAACCCAACTGCTTCTCAGGGACTCTCTTGTGACTTCTGGCAGGTCGACCTTCCGTAAACCATTGATGAGGTTCCTGGGGAAGCGCCAGGCGGAGAAAAAGTCTTCGAAAGAGCTGCCACCGACCCAGGACGAGAGTGAGTCCCCGACGATGCCCTACGTGGTTCAGGAGGTGGTGAAGAAAATCGGGGAGAGTAAGTCTTGGGAGAGAAGGGGGAGAGGGTGGGGGGTTGGGTGGGAGAGGTGACCATAAGCATGATCGAAAAAGGAAGGTCTTTATTCAGGATTTGAAAGAGGGGAGGGAGGGATTGAGGGAGAGAGCTCCAGAGTGACGGGCTGTGAATCTCTCACGTGGTTCATTTTGTTGTCAGGAGGGGAGTGGGGGGCTTGTTCCACGCTGCCCCGGCACACACCGCCGGACCACGGCGGCAAGGAGCAGAGTACCAAAGTGAAGCGGAGCCGGAGCATCAAAATCAGCAACGCCACCACCGTGTCGGAGCAGTGGGACGCCTCCGTGCACCAGGAGATCACCAACTCCAACGAACTCAAACATCTGGACGAGTTCCTCATGAACAAGGTCAGGTTCGGGCCCTTTCAAGAACAAACCAAGATGGGTTTCTGTTGGGAAATGATATCCGGGGATACAGTACATAGTTTGGGGCATGACCCGTGTGTGTGTTGCGTGTGTGTGTGTCTGTGTCCGTCTCGTTCTATGCGTCTCTCGCTCTCCCTCCCTCTCTCCCCACTTCCCTCTCTCTCCCTCCCTCATGTCCGTATCTTCCCTGTTGCCAGGTGAATGATCTGAACTCTCGCAGCTCCCACGAGTCCCGAATCGAGACGCTTTTCATCACCACCACCGACAAGTTCCGAATGACCCTCAAGAGCATGTACTCCGTGCATGTGAGTATGGCCTCTGGATTCCCCCCCATTAAAAAAAAAAATCACTTCCAAAACAAAGCCAAGTAAGGTTCAGGTCTCCTGGTCTCACCCTCTCCTCTGTGGTTCCTTGGGTTGCAGAACAGCCAAACACACATGGGTTACAAGGGCCTGATGCAGAATTATCAGCTGTTGCTGACCAGCCTGGCAGAGGAGCGGCAGAAAGCCGAGATCCAACTGGTGCTCAACCTCTTCCAGAGCCTGCTGGACGAGTTTGCTCGAAGCTACGCCAAGAAGGAGGAAGCAGAGGCCTTGAAGGTAATAATCCTATAATAATCCTTGCATTTGACACGGCCCCTTTTCACGTCTTGGCGTTGTCTCAACGCATTTTTCACAGAATACACTGTAAAGTGAACGGAATTGTATGTTTTGTGGGCAAAACGTTCTACCAGAACAGGCAGAGGACCGCCCTTTAATGTCTCACTGATAATGCAGCACACTCCCCCCCCCCTCCCCACTACCACCCCCAGCGCTGCACAGGTGTGTCAACCAAGACTGTAGGAGTTGAAACTTCCCAACGTGGGGTTTGAATCCACAACCTTCTGACTCACAGGCAAGAGACTGTTACTAACTGCACCAGGCTGACACATGAGGCTAAGCTCAGACTACAATTCCCCCAGATAATGAGTCATTCATTTTGTGGCTGTTTGTTAGACATTGCTGTACGATTAGCTGTGACCGGCATGCCTGAGATTCTTTTCACACGCTCGAGTGATTAATCTGTTGGTTTCTTTCCTTCCAGACAACAAAAGCTCAGAAAAAGAGAAGAAAACGGAACCAAATAGTAAGTGTTGGGATGTGACGTAGACCAGGGCAGTTGTGAATCAGACATCAGCCCCAGATACTCCTCCAGTGTCTAATAAGTTACATAACCCTTAAGCTGGGGGAAACTATTCTTCTAATCTAGGATGTGCCGATACTGGAGTGGCAATACTAAGTTGGCAATGCCATTTGTGGGTGCCAGTGGTGGCAGTACTCAGCGTCTGTTGCGAGGTTGCTCCTGTGTTTTTTTTGGTCAGTCGGGTGTCTGACACACGCAGAAACCTATCACCGTGCTAAAGAGTCTCCAAACCCTTCCATGTATCCCACCTACACATGAAAATTCCAGAGATAGTTTTGTTGGAATGGAATCCACTCTCTCTCTCTCTCTCCCTGGAGGGACCCATCCTGCTTACCTAATTCCAGAAAGTATTGGGCATAGGTTGGCAAGAGTCAAGGCTTGGGGGAGCCCAGAGTGTTCGTTGGGGGGTAACTGCTGGAGTCTAAATCAGCTAAAACAGTATATCTTAGCATTGAGAGCATGGATTGACCGGATGCAGCTGTCGATACATCTACCATTGATTGAAAGTTCCTAACTCTCTTTCTCTCTCCGTTACTCTTTCTCTCTCCTTTAGAAGGAGGAGTATTATGGCCACAGGTTCCGCAGTTACCAAGTGAACATCCTACAATCTTGCGAGCTTTGTTCCTCATACATCTGGACCATGGAGCGAGCCTTGCTGTGTTGCGGTAAGCACAGGACACGAGAAAACCATTCCCCAACCTGCCTACTATCGACAATCCAGCCCAATAGGAATCTTAAGCCACACTGACCAAGAGGTGCAGTGTAGGCCACTGGGGAGTCAGCAGTAGAGGTGCCTCAATCAGTCTTGATATCCTTGGGCTTGGGAGGGGAGTAATCACCCTCTTGCTTATCTCCCCTTTCTCCTGACCCATCACCACCCATTGATAGAAAGTGCCTCTGTGTGGATGTCGGGTGATACAAAACAGCTTGCATTTATACAGCGCCCATCGCATAGGATAGTAGTTCCGAGTGCTTTACAAAGACGGGATTGGATGCCGAGAAGTGGGAGGTGACCACAGGTTTGGTTGAAGAGAGAGGTTTTATGGTGGGGTCTAAAGGGAGGGGCAGAGGGGGGAAGAATCCATCAGTCTACCTATTCAGGTGGTCCCTTGGCTGTGCTACTGCCATGAATGAATACCCTGAGATTCTAACCCTCAGTTGTTTGAGTGAGGTGCCGGCCGGTGGGGCTTGGGCAGTGGTTGGCGAGCGCGAGGGTCTTTGAACCCACAGGACGCCTGAACGAACACATCCCTTCTGCTTCCCTCTCGCAGCCTGTAATATGACCTGCCACAAAAAGTGTCTCCCGAAGATCCAGTACCCCTGCTCGTCCACCTGTACCAGGAAGGTAAGTGTTACCACGGCAATGGGTTCTGTTTCCCCTTTGAGACGTCTCGACGACGTGATAAGGCGCTGTGTCAAATGCAAGGATTAGTAGTAGTAATATCAGGATCGGGAAATGTTGGCCTTTGTGCCTTTATTCTCCGGAGGAGCAGAATACCTGCGCGCCCGTTTGTGCTGTTTTCAAGAGCCAAAACATGGGTACTGCTTCGTGCAACGTTGCTGGGGGGAGGGGGGGATGTTTCCCTGGAGCTACAAGGAATGAGAGGAACTTTGACCACTCCGGAACAGTAAATAAAGAGCTTTGCTGGAACAGTAGCAGGTTCGCTAGTGGACCTGAACTAATTGCCTTTTGATAGACCTGGTACAGATGGCTTGACAGCTGGTGCATTGGCTTTGCTCTGTTGCACCTGTGATCAACGGACGGGGGAAACCAGGCGAGTCGTGGCACCGAGCTGCTCCTCACACAGCCTGTCACCAGACTCCGTAATAATAATAATAATAATAATCCTTGCATTCGATATAGCGCCTTATCACGTCGTTGAAACGTCTCAGAGCGCTTGTGCAGTCAAGGGAATTGACTGTACATTTTGTGGGCGAAATGCGGCAGCCAATTGCGCACAGCAGCGTCCCCACAAACAGTTGTGGATTGAGTGACCAAACCAATAATTTTTTATATCGTTTTCTTGGCGGGATTACTACCCCTGAGGTTCCTAGTTACTGCTGGGTAAACAGTGTGTGGAGTAAGGAAACCTGCCTAAGGTTTCGCTCTGACCTGCCCGGGAATTGAACCCAGGTCCTCTTGCTTGCGAGGCGAGTGCTCTAACCACTATGCTACGGGTAGCTCGCCCCCGGCAGGCGTCTGGGTCTAGGAGAGTCCCTCTCACAGAGTCTCTCCTTCTCAGAACAATCCCAACGCCACATCTCAGCATTTTGGGGTGAGTGTGTGTGACCTGACGAACGAGCAGCAGTTGGTGCCGTTGTTGATGGAGATCCTGCTAGAGTACGTGGAGATGCATGGACTCTACACCGAGGGCATCTACCGAAAATCTGGAGCAGCCAATAAGATGAAGGAGCTTCGGCAGAAACTGGAAGCTGGTAGGTGGGGACATGGAGTAACGTGGGGACAGACTGTACAACAGCTCAGAGGTGACATTGGTCATCACAGAGTGTTATAGAGAGGAGTGCGGTGTGTATCAGAGAGTGTTACAGTGAAGAGTGCCAAATCTAGTGTGCTGCAGTGAACAGTGTGGGATGTCAGGGTATCATTTTTTTCAAACAAATGGTCATGGAAATCTGGTACTCTTTCCCTCAAATGGCTGCAGACGTTGGATCCATTCAAATTTTCATGATTGAAGTTTGTTAGGTTAGGGTATCAAGAGATATGGGGCAAAGGCTGGTAATTGGAGTTGAGGTACAGATCAGCCATGATCTTATAGAATGGTGGAACAGGCTCGAGGGGCTGAATGGCCTACTCCTGATCCTATGTTCCTATCAACATTGGGCGGAGTTATTGTCCTAAGGAGAAAATGTTAGGGAGATAAATGTGGATCGGAAACAGATGTCATGTTCTGACAGTGTGGTGTTGTGAACTCGCGGAGTATGGTCATTGTTGAGTTTGTGTTGAGGTTCTTTTTTTTTGCTTATCTGCCTTATCTCACAGACCCCACCTCAGTCATTCTGGAGAATTACCACATTCACGCCATCACCGGGTTGCTGAAGCAGTGGCTGCGGGAGTTACCAGAACCCCTGATGACTTACGCCCTCTACAGTGACTTCCTGCGTGCTATTGGTGAGTAACCCTGTGTGTCAGAGCTTAGAAGAGTGTAAGAACATGTGGTTTACAGTAGTTTATCATTCCACAACGCCCAGCAAGCTTCCACAAATAAATTTGTGCGCAATCGGCTGCCGCGTTTCACCCACAAACCACAGAGTCACTACATTTTAGTTTTGGGACTTCTCAAAGAGGTGATGAGGTACTATACCAAATGCAAGGATTAATATGATTACTATAAGGTGAATCGCTAATTAATCTGAAGGATAATAGGCCAGGGAATGGGTCCATGAACCCATAAACTTCTGATGTGTTGAGGCTATGTTCAGGGCCTCTGGTTACAAAATCAACTAGGTTCTTACTCCCAATCCCTGGACAGATGCCTCTTCCCACTCTCTTGTGATGTTTTAGCTGTTTAGACTCCAGCAGTTTCCCCAGCGCACGCTCTGGGCTTCCTATGCCTAATACTTTCCAGAATCAGGTAAGCAGGATACATCGCTCCAGCGAGAGAGAGAGTGGATTCCATTCCAACGATCTGGAACCTCCACGTGTAGTTTAGATGGGAGACATGGAAATCTCAGCTTGGATTTTTAACCACGGTGATGGGTTTCCGCATGTGTCAGACACCCGAGTGACCAAAATAAATGAATAAGTAAATGGATCTCGTCTCTCTCTCTCGCGAGTTGCCGTTGACTCTGTTGTGTTCTCATTCCCTGTAGAGCACCCGGAGAGGCAGGAGCAGCTGGTGGCCACTTATAACATGTTGGAGCAGCTCCCACCAGCCAATCACAGCACTCTCGAAAGACTCATCTTCCACCTAGTCAAGTACGTAAGCTTTCGACATCCCTCCCTCGATCCCTCCGCCTTGCCCCCTCCCTCCTTCCCCTCTTTTAGATCAGGACTGAAGACCTGCTTACGGACACCTCCCCCACCCCACACACCCCCCGGAGTCAGGCTCCGTCACTGTTAAGCGTTCCGTGTGATGGGCGCTGTGTAAATGCAAGTTGTTGTTGTATGTGGTGCAGAGAAAGGCTGGAAGCACAGAACAGACTGACTCATTTTGGGTTGGACACAGGACTGACGTATCATGGCGAAACTGTGTACGATGTGGAGCAGGAGAGGGGTTTTGTTACGTGGATGGGGATTGAGAAGGGTTTGTGTGTTGCATTGGGGGCTGCGTTCTTTCGGTGGGACCGTGACGCATTGGCTATGTGTACATGGTGAGGCATTCCCTCTTTATGTTTCAGGGTGGCTGTGGTGGAGGACACCAATCGCATGTCTACCAATGCTTTGGCCATCGTCTTCGCTCCGTGCATCCTCCTCTCGCCAGACACTTCGGACCCGCTGATGAGTATGAGAGACGTCTCGAAGACGACCATGTAAGTCTCCCATTGCCTCCAGAGATTCTGAAGTTAAAACTTTCTAGAGGCAGCGCGTGCGCGGACTCGCTCGCTCAATCAGTTCGTGCCCCAACGCATCTGCCTGTTTGTGTATCGTAGAACAGCAGTGTGTGTGTACACACCTCTGTGTACAGTGTGTGTGTACACATACCCTCTGTTTGATTCCAAGTGATTGCAGCCATGTTTGGTTTCCAGTAGAACAGTGCCACCTGGTGGGTGTTGGGAGTACCAAATTCTATTCCTTCCTGGTTCCTTCTTCTGGGAAAACCCTCCTTTCCTCCATACCTGTGGGAATGGACATGATAGGTAGCTATTGATGAGTCAGTGGGGTGGGGCGATGATGGGGGGGAGGGGGTGTGATGGGCCTTTTGCGATGTGACATCCTGGATTTCGTCTCGTCAAGTTGCTGTTCACTCTGCCGTGTCCTGTTCCCTGTAGAACACCCGAAGAGGCAAATGGGGGGAGGGGGTGAGTTAGTGAAGAAAAATGGAGGGGTGTTGTCACCACGGGAGGTTGGTTGATGGGACTCTTTCTCTCCGGCCTGGTCTCAGGTGTGTGGAGCTGCTGATCTCCGAGCAGCTGAGGAAATACAGAATGAAAATGGACGAAATCGCTCACTTGGAAACGGCAGAACACATCGCTGTGCGCAGGCTCTCGCTGCTCCGGGTAAGTCAGACACCTTATCTAACCCGCCACAACCGTGAGCGCTTTCTTTCGGAAACTCCAGCAACTCTGCGGAAAGGGATGTGCAGCTTATTTGGTTTCGTCCTCCCAGAATTATCCAGAAGCTGAGTTTCTCATTTACTGCACTAAGTCTATTCTTAAATGAATCCCAGCATCTTGGCATCAGTCACCTTTATTAATTAAACCCTATCCCAGTCATTATGTACTCTCTGTGCAAAGAAATAGTGACTGGTGCTTGTCCTAAAGTTGGCCTTCACACCCCTGAAGCCACCCGTTGTTGTCCTCTTGCCATGATGTATGTGAAAAGGTTGTTCTGGGTTTGTTGGGTCTCATTCAGCAATTTAAGTGATCGAGAGCTGAGTTGCACGGAGTCTGCGACCAACTGTAAGCACGGAATGAAGGGAAAATCAGTTGAGTTAGGGATCGGTCCTAATTCGGGTGGTCAAGAATTCTTTGGGAAGTAAATTGGAGTGGTACAGAAGGAAGAATAGCTACACAACTGGTCTTTAGGGTGGTGTGTGGGGTGGGGGAGATGGGAAATAGTCCAATGAGCCTGTGGAAGCCCCAAAAGGTCAATGGACAGAGGGGGGATGGAGGTGACTATAGATTGGGCAGCATTGTCTCTTTGTTCGTGTGGGATGCGAGTGAGTTGAGAAGCCGCCAATCCAATGTTCACTCCATTTATCAAGCATTGGAGACATTGATGACTGGAACTCAAGCCTTCATTCACTTTTTCTCTGTAGCTTTGGCCTCATGAGCTGAGGTTTTCCTCCACTTACGATGGGCTCCTGGTAGGTAGAGCGACTAGTCTGGTAACTACCCTGCACGTTTCTCTCCCTCATGCTGTTTTGTTTTTTATCATTGCATGGGTGCCCCCCCCCCCCACCCACCCCTATGACAAACATTCACCCCTTCACAATGCATGTGTGTTGCATGTCACATCGCATGAGTTGCGACACCCGGAAACCTAACATTGTTCACGGCTAAGATGTTAATAGGGAGAAAGGTAAGAATTATAAACCTTGGGATTAGTTTGGGCAATGTTCAATGCGTCTGACTCATGCCCGGATCACATCATGGGTGGGTTTGATCCACACTCCAGGTCCTGAGCTCGTAGAACAGGCTGATGTTCCAGAGCAGCCCTGAGGAAGTGTTGCATTGTCAAGTCTCTTGGGTGAGAAATTAAACCAGGTCTTGTCTGGAGGTTCAGGTGGACTTTAAAGCTCCAATGGCACAATTTTGAAGAGAAGGAGTTTTGCTGTGTGTATCCTGACCAATATTCCACATGTTCAAATTCACTTAAAAGGAAACAAGGAATTTGTTTATAGCCAGAGCTGCCCCTCCCACCCCCACCCCCACTCCCACCTCCACCCTCGCTGGAGCCTGACTAACAGGAATCATTGCTTCTCATCAGAACAAAGTACCTCGGACTCCGAAGGTGGTTGAAGAGACGATAGCCACCACATTGGAAAGCTTGACTGAGGAGTCCTCCGACACAGACACAGAACGAGAACAGGAAATACTGATCGAGCGGATCCAATCAATAAAAGAGGAAAGGTCTGTCTGGGGCTGAGGATCAGGTAGGGCAGGGTGGCCCAACCTTTTGACTGCTGAGGGCCGAATGTGGCCCATGGGCCTCCAGTTGGACCCTCCTGACATAGAGTATGATGGGGGTGGGGAAAGGGGTGCATATGTGGGGCTATGCCTGTTCAACAATGGGATTCAGTCTTAATTTAGAAGCCTTCTTTGCAGAATCCCTGGATTTCCAAATAAATACTCAATTTAAGAGTTTTTTTATTGAAAACATTTCTATGCCACCTCAAAATTTTAAGTCGGTGATCTGAAGGTTATGGTTTGGGGAGCTGGGGGTACCTCTCCCCAGCCCCCAACCCCTCCTCCCCCCACCTAGCCCCCAGAGCCTTGTGACGTCCTCCCGAGGTGAAAAGCGCTATACAAATGTAATTTGTTGTTGTCTTTTCTCACAGAGACGAGCTGACGCTGAGGCTCCCAGAGTTGGAGCAGAGGGGATCTGACGAGGAGAACATGGACTCCGAGGCCTCGCTCAGCATGGAGAGCCTGATAGACGAACGCTTGGCGCAAGCGGGGAGCGGAGGTCAGTAAAAAGTAGGTTCCACCCCATGTGCTTTTGTACATATCTTTCCACATCTTTTTTTTCTATTCAAAATAAATCACGGGGAGTGAGTGGGCATGTGTGGAGGGGGGGGGGGGGGGAAGAGGGTAAGGAAAATTGGTGGACCAGTAGTCTGTCTCAGTCAACCGTACATTTGTTACGACTTATGCAAAGTATGAGGTATGTTAAAATAATAGGAAATTTAACGGGGCTCGGGCAGATGTACGACTTAGGCGATTATGATTTGGTCACTCAGTCCACGACCGTTTGTGGGACTCTGCCCTGCGCAATCTGCTGCTGCGTTTTGCCCACAAAATACACAGTCACTCCACTTGACTGTGAGGCGCTTTTGAGGTGTCTCAGCAACATGATTAAGGCGCTGCCTCAAATGCGAGGATTGTTGTTACTCTTATTATCATGAAACCTTTGTTCCCGTTCTCCGCGCAGGAGCAAATGCTGCTGTGTTTCGGTTCACTGGAAAACACAGGTCCCAGTCGATAGCAGGATGCCAGTCCACACCCACCCCAGACCCCGTCACCGCTCCGGCCAAGGCAGAAGGTCCGCGCGCTCGCACTCCTGCGTTACTGCGGCGCCCAGCCTCCCTGGTCTCCAGCTTGCGGCTGCCTCGTCGCAACCCCGTGATTCCCACACGCAACATCAAGCTGCCTCACGGCATCCTCAGGATGGTGGACAGCTATAGGTGGCCGCCCGGCAGGCAGGAACCGGCCGGGGTCATCCTGCGGCGACGGGAGCAGCCGTCCAGGAGGTCGGACAATATCCGGTCCATGTACATCGCCGCCCAGGAGGTCAACTTGACCGAGGCTGTGGGTCTCGTTACCGAAGACGTCAAACCAACACCGGCCAAACTGCAACGACGGTTCTCTGACCCGCTATCTGACATGCCTTACACAGACAACTCCTGAGTGTGAGACTGTACGCTGAGACAAACTGGTGATTTTGGTTGGCTGGGGGGGGGGAATGTGTGACTGACTGCCTCAGCCAAGTTGTCACACCGAGGACAAATGTTCGTTCGTTCCCAAGGCATCGCTCGAGACTCTGGATCTTGCCTCCCTTCCTCGTTGTTCCGGGAGACGTCGGCTTCCAGACAATTTTTAATATTTTATTTTCCTTTTTGTTTTGTACAGTCCTTTCCCGCTTTATCCCTGTACGTGGTCACTGCGTGAACCGAGAATGAGATTCCATTAGACGTCCCTGATAATATGCTGTGCGTTTGTATTTGTGCGTATGTGTGCGTGGGGGTATGCTGTGTGTATGTACGTGTGTGTACACACGTCTCCTGTATGACTGGGATGCAGGTAAGTTGCAAGCCGGTTAACGTAACATTGGCTCTTGGGTTTGCGTCTGGTTGCACATGTATTTCCCACAAGTGTATCTGATTCCTTCCCCATGAACAAATTATTTTTAAATAAATATATTACTTGTTTGGGTTTGTCTCTGCCCTTGCTGTGGGGGTTGACGCAGTCTGGGAACACCTGGGAGGACCTGAAGATATTGGGAGAATATGTGGGACTTTTGTATTGTTCCTTAAACGAAGGATGCTTCGGAGGCGATTGTCAGGTGCCAGAGGTGATTGTCAGTCTCTTGGCTCAATTGGTAGCCTTTCTCCCCTGGTGTTAGAAGGTTTGAGTGTTGCAAAGCTCTGTGTTGTGGAGCTCACAATCCAGGCTGACGCCCCAGCGCAAGGCTGGGAGAGCGTTGGATTGCAGTAGATCATTCACTTCCAGGGTCACCTCCGATGCAGAAATAACATTTATCATAGCACCGGAACACGTTGAACCAATCGTCTTAAACTGCTTCACGGGTAATTTGCTGTCGAGTACAATGACTGTGTTTGTACGTCCGAGCCCAGGTACGTGACACAGTAAGTTCAATATAAACATTTTATTACAGCTATAAACATTGTACATCAATTTCACTACTTTCCTATTCTTCCTTCATTCCTTCCTCTCCATCATAAAACAGAGCTTTGTTTAAATCAAGTCATCTCAGGTTACAATCTCAACTCAGTCTGTCGTCAATTATCGAATGCACTCTCTGAATCATTCGCTCTCTTCTTGTACAGGACAGGACCGAGTGGGTAGTGACTCCTGACACTCGGATAAGTTTTATTTACAAAAACTCTGAATCGCCACAAGCAGCGCTCAGAGATTACCGGGAGGGGGCAGGGGAGGGGGGGGGGGAAGAGGGGAGGAATAGGAGAGAGAAACAAGTTGATTAAAATCCAATCGCGACAGAGCCTACCCCTTTCAGAGTTTGCCTTTTCTCGCCCTCCCTGTATGCAGGGAGATGGTGATGTTGTTTTCTGTTTGACGACGGCTCAGTTTCTAGCAGCAACAATGATGGAGACAGCGACACCTCCAACAGCCACCATCGACGCTCCAAACAGCCACTTCCAAGGTATGCTCTACACAACAAGGGATCCCAATGTCAGAACAGAAATCCCTGACCTTTCAGAACCAGTTAAGCTCCCTCTGCTCTCGTGTCTCAGCCACAGAAGAGCATCTCCTACTGAAGTACTGCAATATTTCCACAGAGGGATGAAGAACGTTTGGGCAATATCCGACTTGAAAGTTCCTCTCTTTATATTCTCTCACATATACACACACACACATACGAGAGGATATAAAGTCAATTCACTTTACAGTATATTCTGTGAAGCGCTTTGAGATGTCTTGAAGACATGATGAGGTGCTATATCAAATGCAAGGATTATTTTATAATACATATATAGGAACAGGAGAAGGTCATTCAGTCCCTCAAGCCTGTTCCGCCATCTATAAACAACAAGATTAAATTTGTATAGCGCCTTTCATGTCGGGAGGACGTCCCAAGGCCCTGGACAGTGTACAACGTTTCAGACATTCCATAAATTATTGCTGATCAGTACCTCAACTCCAATTATACCCTCCTGATATGAACCACCAGCTTGAGTGCTAATCTTTGACTGTCCCAACGCCTTGGAACGTCCTCCCGACTTGATAGGCGCTAAATAAATGTAATTTGTTGTGACTATCAAACCAAATTAAATCATTTTCAGCCACTTACCATTCCCCTTCCAGGGTTTGCCTCCCCCCTCCCCACCCCTGCAACCCACCCCTAGAGATTCTTTAACCGGTGTAGAGTGACGGGTTTAAACTCCTGATTTACGTACTTACCCAGGGCGATTTGGAGGGTGGGCATGAGGGAGAGGAGGTGGCTATGTCACCCAGCATTTTCTTGTACATCGCCTGCTCTATGTTTTTCTGCTCTGAGTGTTTCTTCACCAGCTTCGAGAGCTCTGTGTGGAGCATCTACAGCGAAGAAACAAACCAGGGACTGATCAAGAGGTACGCAGAACCCACAGCAAGTCAATCACTCCCGTCAAATCAGGTGTAATGTGCACAAACACACATACACACACACAGAGGAAAGTAAGGGACATGCCCTAGATTCAACGCAGAGGACAGCAATTGGGATGTCCCCATTGTTATCGGGAATGAGCTTTTAATAACCATTAGACAAGATAGGGCTCCTTGTGCCTTAAAGATTTTGTTGGGAGAGACTTGTAGAGATTTTAAATGGGATTGAGAAAGTAAAGTAGCCCAGACCAATACTATTAGATATCCTTAACTTAACCATTTATCTCACGCCCATTTGTGTGTTAATGGCTACAACTTTTATCTGCAATTTTTCTTGATCAGCCGGGCGTGTTGACAAATGCGGAAACCATCAGCATGTTTAAGAGTATCCAACGCAAGCTGTACAGTCACTACCCTTTCTTTGTGAAGCAAAAACCACACCCAGACCTCTCTCCCCCGCCTCCACCCGCATTGACAACTCACCTTGTTGGAAGGCTCCAATTTCAAGGCCTTTCTCAGGACAGCGATCGCCTCTGTGTACTCTCGCTGCAGGGCCAATACCTGCAAACAGAGGCCACGGCATTAAGCGAGGAACCGTTCGGAAACACACACCCTCCCCTTGTTCCAGCCCACTCCTACCTTCCCTTTCCTGAACAGGGCTTTGATGTTGTCCGGCTGGTGCTGGAGCACGGCGCTGCAGGATTTCAGCACCGACTCATAGTGCTCCAGCTTCAGCTGAGTGGCCGCTAAGTTATTCAAACACTTCACCTTCACGTCCAGCAGCTCAGACTCCTCTTCTACGGTGATATCAACTGGGAGAGTGAGAGCAGGCATCAAACTGAGTCACAGTAGCCGGGGCTCAGGGTTAGCAACAACAATTATTTACACGGCGCCTTTCACGTCGGGAGGACGTCCCAAGGCGCTGGATGGTCAACGATTTGGACCCGAGCTGGGAGTTGGGATCAGGAGAGGTGGAGGGTGGGGGGGGGTTAGGAGGGTGAACGAAGGTGCAGTCGAAAGGGAGGGTCTTGAGACGGGCCTTGAAGGAGGCAAGGGAGGGCGTGAGATGAAGGGACTTATGTTCACTCTGTCTGGTTTTGTTCAGGAGCGGAGGTGGAGCAGTGGTTGCAATCCTTACCCTTTGAGTTGCAGCCCACGATATTCAGGGCGATGCTGTAAGAGTTTGTGGCGGAGACAAAGTCCGCCCGCTGGTAATAGGCATTCCCACGCTCCCGCTTACTGTTGGCCAGGTCCAGACGCTCCCTGCCCGACAGCAGCTCAGGATCTGGGGCCTCCTCAACATCCACAAGCTGAACCTCCATGTGCAGCCTGGCGCTCGGGGGGATAGCGGGCTGTGTGCTGGGGGAGAGAGGGGAAGAAGTTAACTGTCTGTGCTCTACACAGAACGTGATGGGCTCGTCCGAGTTCAAGTCCCAATCAATTCCTGAACCTGGAGTGAAGTTCATTACTCCAGTGAATTAGATGAGTTTCGCATTCGATTCTTTGAATCGGTCACCATCACATCAACTGTTATCTCTCACCCAAACAAATGTGTTCTCACCTATTAACAATAATCCTTGCATCTGATATAGCACCTTATCATGCCGTCGAGATGTCTCAAAGCGCTTCACAGAATATACCCTAAAGTGGAGTGACTGTGTATTTTGTGGGCAAAATGCGGCAGCCAGTTGCGCACAGCAATGTCCCACAAACAGCTGTGGAGTGAGTGACCAATTTTATTTGGGGTTTGCTGGCCAGGAAGAAAGAAATTCCCTTCTTTCTTTTCAAATACCACCATGGGAACTTTAACGCCCACCTGAACAGGCAGACGGGACCTCGCTTTATCGTCTCATCCGAAGGACGATGCGAGGAAGATGGTTTCTGCGCTCAGCAACCTGTATCAAGGAGTTTTATTTCTGCCTCACCTACCTTCCCCGGGTCCCGTAGGCATACTTTGAGTCCGAGATAATTTGTGCCGTCTCGTCCAACTCCATCAGCTGCACACACAGATCCAAGGCCTGACCAGAGAGAAAGAGAGAGATGCTCTGAGAACAGGACCCATGCAAGGCCTAACCAGTTCGCCTTCCACCATACTAGTGGTTGTGTGTACATATTGTGTTCCAAACTAATATCCCGAGATATTATTTCCTAATGGAAATCTATCTAACTTGAGCCTCAAACAATTTGCTGCTATGCATCCAAATCCTGTAGACTTCAGTCACCATGATCTTCAACATCCCCCAACCCCCACCAATTCCCAAATGGTTTAATTCTTCTCTCCGCAATTCTCTTATTTTATGGGAAAGTTTTTTTTCTCTCCAGTAGCCACAACACCAAATTGACCCTCAACCTGTTATGCTGAGCCCCTGTGCAAGACAGCTAATCCTCGTCTTCCACATGCCTTACTTTCCCCACGGACTATTTCCTTAGGGGGAGTTGGGTTCGGGGGTTAGAGCTCCCAGTGAGGCATTACATACCTGAATTACATCCCCATCTCCCAAGGTGAAGGAGAGACCAGGCTCTTCCTGCAGTACTGTCCCATCTTCCAGACTTGTCTTCAGTCGAATGGTAACGTTCTGACCTTTCTGTGGCTGGTAGAGCTCCCCTCTACCTGCTACTAGAACCTTCTTCTTCAGCAGCCCGTTCCCTGCAGAAGCCATGACACAGGCATTAAGGCTACATCCTGTGCCTGGGATGCTCTGGGACTCTACCCTGCGTGAGGAGCGCTATATAAATGCAAGTTGTTGCCGTGGCAGCTTGGCTTAGTTGGTAGCACTCTCGCCTAAGGTTGGAACTTCAAGCCCCACATCGAGACTTGAGCTCACAGCCCAAGGTCCCATTTGTCTATTCAGTTAAACATGAAAAATCCCATGAACACTATTGAAAAATAAATGCTGTTCAAACTTTCTCCCGAGTGTTGGACAATAAGATTAATTAGTCAATTATTCTAAACCTATGTGTGGGACCTTATCGGGTGTAAGTGACTGACCCCAAAAAGAGGGACTAAATTTGACAGGTTCTTAGATTTGCTCCTTAGCGCAGGATCAAGATGGCGGATGATTTTTAATTAAGGGAAGGTGATGTAAGGGAAGAGAGGTTACACAAGACCAATAAAGAGTTGCAGATACCTAGAACCTCCAGCCATTCCCCCTCTGGCTTCTCTCCATCATCTGCAGTCACTGGTCCACTATCCGCACCTTCACTCTCCTCCACCCTTTGTACCTTGGTGTCTGAACTCTCTTCGCTTTCAAATTTCTCATCCTTACAATCCTGAAACGTAATGGCAGAACCAACGTCTTCAAGAGGGGGGAGATCGTTAGGGTCATCTTCATCCGTGTCCTCCTTGGATATCTCTGTGTCCTCGCCGCTGTCGAGGAGCGAAGCTTTCCCTCGGCTCGAGGTTTTGTCTGAGGTTAGTGTGTCTGTGTGCTCGTTCTCTGTGACCTGCTGGGTCCCATCCCCAGCTCCCCACTGAGAATCGAATGGGATTTCCTGGGTCTCTTCCACACTCGCCATTTAGACTCAGACAGAGGCACTGCAGGAGAGGAAGAAATACATAACCACCAGTTAAAGAATTTAGCTACTGAAGTTGCCCATCAAAATAGCTAAATAGTTTAATAATAATTACAACAACAACTTGCATTTACGCTTAAATTAAATATTGATGCAATAATAATAATGCGGGAGGTACCGCAAGCAAATGTTTTTCAAGCAGATTTGTTTTGTAACTCGCTGCTAATACTACACTTGCGCAGTAATTTTGCCCTGTGCACACTTGTATCCGGACAGAGTTCACATTGTGATAAGGCCGATTTAACTTACTACTTTTAAAGGAAACTAAATCAAATTCAGGGGCTCAATCCAACCATAAACACTTAATAGCTTACTAAATAATAATAAGAATTCAATGTGATCACAAAAGAGGGATAAATTGGTAAGGTTCATACAAGATATTAAATTCCCCTCCCGCTTCTGTGGAATTTGCTCCCATCTCAACAGGTCGTTTGACTAGGCTCAGTGGTTCATTAACAGGCCTGAAGGTTACAATGCAAGTTTTTCTGGGGTTATAATCCCTTCCAAAAAATAAATAATAATTTGGTCACTCAATCCACTCAAGCTGTTTGTGGGGACGCTGCGGTGCGCAATCGGCTGCTGTGTTTCGCCCACAAAATACACAGTCAATTCACTTTAATGTGTATTCTGTGAAGCGCTTTGAGACGTCTATTTCAAAATGCAAGGATTATTATTATTATTATATTGTAGTTGGGGAGAAGGGGACAGTGCTGATTAGAATGCCATTGATGAGAACTGAATAATGTAGGTTGCAGTGTTAGACCCGACAGCCTGCATGGGCTTTCGTTCCATTCCATTAACACAATAACACACGGAATAATAATAGATTATAATCCTCGCATTCGATTCAGCGCCTTATCACGTCGTTGAGACGCCTCAAAGCGCTTCGCTTCACGGGGTACAGCGTCAGGTGGAGTGACTGTGTATTTTGCGGGCGAAACCAAAAGAACACCGACAAGTCCTGGTGTGCCTCTCCCCACCACTCGGTGCTCTGCATTTGGGGGCTGGCGGGAGGGGGGGCGCGGGGGGTGGGAGGGCATCCTCTGCCCAGCCCTTCTCTCTCTGCCACTATGTGATGCCCTCCCACCCCCATTCCCGGTGCCCTGATACCCTGCCCACATACCCCTGGGTGGTTTTTTTTTTGCCAATTGCCCCACTGTCCATACCTTCTACCCACCACCCCCCCTCCCCCTCACCCCCCACCCCCTCACCCCCACCACAAGAGTACCCAGCTCTGGGTATCCCAGTGCCATTTGCAGTGACCCACCAGAATCTTCTCCCTGCCTGGTGCCCACCCTGGTGACCTCCTCCCCCCAGCCTGCCCACCCCCCCCTGGGTGCCTATCTCTCCCCACCCTCTATTGCCTGTGTCTCCCCCCCCCCCCCCCGGTGCCTGTGTCTCCCCCCCTGGTGTCTCCCCCCCCGGTGCCTGTGTCTCCCCCCCCCCCCCCTGGTGCCTGTGTCTCCCCCCCTGGTGTCTCCCCCCCCCTGGTGCCTGTGTCTCCCCCCCTGGTGCCTGTGTCTCCCCCCCCGGTGCCTGTGTCTCCCCCCCTGGTGTCTCCCCCCCCTGGTGCCTGTGTCTCCCCCCCTGGTGTCTCCCCCCCCTGGGTGTCTCCCCCCCCCTGGTGTCTCCCCCCCCCGGTGCAGGCTCCCCCCCCCCTGGTGTCTCCCCCCCCCTGGTGCCTGTTCCCCCCCCCTGGTGTCTCCCCCCCTGGTGTCTCCCCCCCTGGTGTCTCCCCCCCCGGTGCCAGGCTCTCCCCACCACCTGGTGCCCTGATGCCCCATCTCTCACCTTCTTCCTGGAGTCCTGCCTCGCAGGTCCCGCCCACCCGCCACCTGATTGGCGGGCTGCAACCCCAGCCTCTCCTCCCATTGGCTGCCGGCGCCTGCCACTCTGCCTGACTTCCGCTTCCCCCCCCACTCAGAGTGGCAACAGTTGCAAACATTTAAAGGGACACTGACACTCCCCCCCACTCCCACCCCACCCACCTCACAGCCACGCCCACTCCACCAAGTCAGACACTCTGCACCCCCCACAACCCCCCCCACCCCCCACCCCCCCCCCCACAGTCATCGACGCAGTCACGAAGAGCAATCCCCGCGTTTGGTAGAGCGCCTCATCGCCTCGTTGAGACGCGTCGAAGAGCTTCGCTGCAAAGTTGCGAAGTGACTGTGCGGCTTGCAGGCGAACGCGGCAGCCAATCAGCGCGCGGCGAAGCCCCCCCCCCGCAAACGGCCATTGCAGCGCGTGACCCCGCTTGGAAGTTCATCGTCCACTTCGCCACTTGTCTATGGCCGTCGACTCTCTTTCCTCCACTGCAGAATCGATTCACGTCCTCAAAAAGGATGGCGGGAGGGAGGGAGGGGAGGGAGGGAGGGAGAGATAATTAATTGGGAAGTAAGCACATTAAGTGATATGGAGGTTGAGCACAGAAATAGAACAACCAACACAATTTTTGCACTTACGTAGCACTTTTCACATCGGAGAATGACTCAAAGTGCTTTACAACGATGGAGGGGATGTTTCAAACTGCACAATTCTCTATAGAAAGAGGTTGAACCATAAAACTTGAACTTTTACAGCACAGAAGGAGACCATTAGTGTCCTGTCTGGGTTGACTCATTGAAAGAGCAGTCCATTAAGATCCATTTAACTGCCTTTTCCCAATATCTACACGGATTATTTCTCTATAATAATAATCCTCGCATTTGATATGGCGCCTTCACATTGGGAGAATGCATCAAAGCACTTCACAGAGGTTTACAGTGAAGTATAGTGACTGTATTTTGCAGGTATCTATCTAGTTCCCTCTCGAAAGCAAATATGAATCCTTGACCACTGTACTTCGAAGGGCATTCCAAATCCTAACAACTCTGTGGGTAAACAAAAACCTCCAACTCTTTGCTTTCCGCCTTTTGTGGGTTGGTGAAGACATCAAATCTGTATCTGAGGTTAGATGTATCTGCACAATCTGTTTTGGAAAGGCGTGGTACAAAATCACCCCTCTGGGGAAAAAAATAGAAAATAATCCTGCACTAAAATATTCTGATTCATCTGTTTCCCTGCCCTCTTCGCACCTTCATTTACCTGCCAGACAAAGTTGATGAGTCAATGAATGTGCTATTAGGTGTCTGCCAATGTTATTATTTTGGTGGTTGCCAACAATAATGAGCCGTCAATCCCTCTGATTTCCCCACCGTGCCTGTGGGGAATTTCCTGGCATTGAATCCTCCCTGATTCTCCCTGGATGAGAATTGGGGAATAAGTAATCAGGAATTGCGAAATGAGAGTATCTGTCTGTTACAATAGATTCTATTCAAAGACACTAATTGCCACCACCGCAATGCTGGTGTATTTTTAATGCCGGTAACAATCTCAATTAAGTAACAACTGCTGTTTATCAGGACTGTAGGAGCCAAGAAATGGCTTGTGTGTTGATTATGCACCGAGGCTTCAGATAGTAAACAACAGCTGTGGTTTACTAAGTATTCACCTGTAAAACATAGAGGAGGAAAAAGCAAGTGCAAATTGCAACACTTTACACCACTTTTATATAACTGACCCAGAGTCTGGACATATGGCACAAAAGAGAAAACGGAAACGCTGTATTTTAGAGTTCTGGGACATTTGGGGGAGGGGGGGGAGGATTGAAGTTTCACTTTTTTTTGCCCATCCGGGTGTCTGATACACATATGAAAGCTCATCACCATGCTTAAGAGTCTCTAAACCAGACTAAGAATTCTATGCATCCCACCTACACGTGGGAATTCCAGAGCTATTGATTCCAGAGATAGAAATTCCACTTGGGGCTAGATCTATTTTCCTAGCATTCCTAAAGTTTGAGGTGGGTCTTGTTGGTTTCAGAATTGGAAAAAGCAGTCCTAACCATGATAGTAATAACCCTTGCATTTGATATAAAACATGTCTTCAAGGCGTCTCAAAACGCTTCACAGAATATACTGTAAAGTGAATTGACTGTGTATCTTGTGGGCGGAACGCGACAACCGATTGCGCACAGCAGCGTCCCACAAACAGTGGTTGATTGAATGACCACATTATTTTTCAGGCGAAACATGGTAGCTAATTGCAATCATCACTGGTTACCTCCAACAACAACAAATTGCATTTGTATAGCGCCTTTCACATCAGGAGGACGTCCCAAGGAGAGGTGGACTCTGCCGTGAAACCAATTACATAAAAATAATATTTGAGCCTTTTGCCTAGGCTTTTTTTGCTGATCTGTGTCTGGCCAGGGTGAGCAATGCGCACAGTGGCAATGTCAATCTAGTCAGCCTGTCATTTCCTCTGTGTGACTGATAATCAACAGGGGTCAATGACACTGGGATTGGCCATCAACCAATCTATAGGTGCAATTTAAATCACATGGCTCGATGGGATTATGACAGAATAATCATCGCCAGGAGATTTTAAATTGATCTTAACCTTGTCTCATGTTGACAGAACACAGCCCAACAGCCATAACCTACATTTCATCTCAGGAGCGTGTTACAAAGCTTAATCCTGCACGTCAACCGAAGCTCAAGGGTCTGTAATTTACCAGCACAACATGCATTAGTAACTTCCTCATCTCACTTGTCACACCAAAGCTAGGGTCTAAATAATCTCTATTTGTGTAAGAGAGTCATTGGTCTAATGGCTCAAAGTGCTTCAAATGGATTGATTTGCCTCCACTGATGGATCGATGGGTCAGTACATTGTGCGGTGGACAGCTGAGCAAACCAGATAGTCCTTGGTTCAATCATGGTCATAGCCAAGAGTCATAGATAACCCAACTGTAATGTATGCATGTGGACTTTGTATGTGGACTTTGAGTGTGGACAATATCAGACTTGGCTGTGATTTCCCTCCATAGTCGGTAGGTTGCTGATGCTTATTGTCAAATCACATCCATGAAAGGCCACAGTCTATGTACCCGAAGGTGACTGGCACCTGTGGAATTCAATAGAGAAGGATAATCCTAAATTTATGTAATTTTTTTGATATAATGTTTGGGTAATGGTGAAACAGAGTGGGCGTTTAAATAGTCTCGCATTCGGTCTTTACAGACATTTCATAATTTCATGGCATGTCATCTAGTACTTAGAAAAAGTATTAAATTAAATATTACGTGTCTAGCAAATGCACATTAATCTAATCTTTATGATACCGCTTACAAACAAGTGATAAGAACTTACCCTTTCTCCCCAGTAGATGGTAGTATTGTAAAATTGTAAGGATTTTTCTGTTAAATATCAGATAAACATTCTCTTAGACTCCTTCCTACCTCTCCCCTATATTATTGTTGAATGCTAAATGTACTCTATTGGTGATTTTTAAAAAAATGATTCCTTGAAAGCTATTTGGGTGTGAATAAATAAATAAACAAACAGTATCGCAAGAGGATTGAGTAGCTAATGTCTCATAAACATGGAGAGGAGAGACTACGCCTCTGGAATGTTTGATCCTGCCATTTTCTTTTGCCAATTTTCTCCCTTTTCCCTCCTCGTCTGAAGGTGCTGACTTTTGCTCAATGGGGATCAGTTTCACTGAGTCAGTTGATCTTTGGTACCTAAACCAGGCCAGTCAACTATGGAGGGCTTCATTGTTGAGCCTGGTCCTTGTCACCCAACATGTACAACACACATTATTCACAAAGGATCACGTTTATCAATCCATCCCTTACTTTTCCTCTCCCCAGGTCAGGTCTCACTAAGAACTTTAGCAACCTTGGCCTCATCTTCGGACGCTCATTTCTAAAACGACTTCACCTTTCTATCTTCTTGTTTTTAAAGAATTCCTATGAAAAACCTCCTCTCTTCTGCTGTACATTTGCATTCCATGCACTTCTTGCCCCACTTCCATGATTAAACATTTTGTCCTTTTATAAAATAGCCCTAGATAAATGTTAGTTGTTGCAGTGGACCATTTATTGATACTCGAAACACTCTCCCTATTACATAAAACACGATTAAGGAAGGTAATACTTCCATTTAATGGAGCATCTTATCGCTTCAAAACATCTCAAAGTGCTTCAATCAATCAGTCAATGTGGCTACGAAAGACAAATGTGTTAGCTCATCTGTGCCAGCAATGTCCTGCAAACAACAATGAGATGATTCACGAATAAATCTGCACAATCTGTGTGTTTTGGACGAAGGAGAAAATATTGTCTGGGACACCGGGGGAGAGGGAGAATTCTGGGGAGAACTTCGGGGAGAACTCCGGGGGGAATTCCAGGGAGAGCTCTGGGATCTTCTTCGAAATAATGTTTGGAGATTGTTTAATGCAGAGAATGGATCTCACGTCTCATCGGAAGGATGTGTGAGGCCAGCGTGTGCTTCTGCCTAGAAGCCTCGCTGATTGCCCTGTGACTTTTGCTACCAGGGTCCCCATGATCCATTGATTGATGGATCCCTCACTGGAGCTGCAAGTGTTCACACTTGATCCAGTCTGGTACAATGGTGGAGTGTGATTGGGCGCCGCCATCTTACTTCATGGCAAAGCATGGGCGCAGGGGCCGCCATGTTTGTTGCTGGCACGCCGGGCGTGTGATTGTCCCCCCCCCCCCCCTCAGCGGCCTACCACCACCTCGGCGCGCGCCATCTTTGAGACAGGCAAGTGTGATTTGGAGGCGGCTGTTTGGATGGGAGGAGGCGCCATGTTTGATACTGGCAACGTTTGGCCCCCGGGGCTCCCGTGGTGCCTGTCTGTGTGGGGGAGGGGGAAGCGGCGCGAGGCAAGATGGCGGCGCTGAAGGAGGAGCAGAGCTACGGGCTCTCCTGTGGCAAACTCACATCGGGGAATAACATCTCGGTCCTTCACGTTAAACTCACCGACACCGCCCTCAAGGCGCTCGAGGCCTACCAGAACCGCAAGGTAAGGAGCCGGGAGTGGGGGGGCATCCGAAGGGGGAATTGAAAAAAAAACCCACCTCAAGAGCGTTGCGCTGTGGCGTTGGGATGTGAGGGGACAGAAGGTTCTAGTTCCTCCAGCGTCCAGCTCATATTCCCCCCCCCCCCCCAACCCCCCCTCCTCCTCAGGGCAGGGTCAGATCCCCCTCACACATACCACCCCCCCACTCCCCCCCACTCCCACCATTACCCCATTGGGGGGCGACTACCAGGACATGTCCAGAGATAATTCCCTCTAATAATTCATCAGCTCAGCCTGAAGAGGGAAAGGGGGTGGGGAGGACAGACAGACAGACAGACAGACAGAGAGGTGGGATATAACTATAAACATGTACAAGTTAGTGTTGGCAGTCTGGTTAATGAATCCACCCCCCGCCGCCCCCCCCCTTCCTTCCTCCTCACTTTTATTCCCTCACATAAACTGTGTGAGGGGGCAATGGTGATAATTTGATTTGTGAAATCATGTCTTCGTTTCTTCCCTCTGCTCCTGCCCTTTATTTTATTTTATTTTTGCTTGTCTTCTTAACAATGAGAAAACATCAAGAGGAAAAAAGGCTTCTCTTTTTTTTGGTGGGGGTGGGGGGGAATGTGGTGGTGGTGTGTGTGTGTGTGTGTGTGGAGATAAATCAAACGAAGTGCATCTATTCGTCGTTTTAATTACTTCAGTTTCACAGCCATCTATTCTTATCCTTTCCTCCTCTCATATATTCTGTCTCTGCTTTAAATTCAACAGCCAAAAATGGCTCTCTGTCTGTCTGTCTATCTCTCTCTGTCTGTCTGTCTCTCTCACTCTCTCCTCCCCTTCTCAATCTCTGGCTGCGTTTTTCGCTGACCTTTTCATTCTCTCTCTACGCTTTTCATGGCCTTCAACCTCCTGTCAAAACCATTCTGTAAGATAACTCGTGTTTATTTTTAAAAAAAACACTCCTCACCCCCCCCTCACAAACACACACACACACACACACACACGACTGCGATTGGGGGAATTGAAAAAAAAAGGGGCTCTTGTAAAGTTTTTTTTTCCAACGTTTTATTTTAAATCCCCCTTTGCGTGTTGCATTTTTAACTTGACAGCATCTTTAAACTTTCCCTCACGGTTTGTCTCTGGTCCCAAATTTCGGAATCCTGGTCTCATTTCACTCAACGTCGCGTCTCAGGCCCTTTACTCAGGGATTTTACCACTGTGTGAAGCTGGACTCATTTAAGAGGAATTGTTGCAAAACAATATCCCTATTAAATGTAGAGTTAAATCAGATTTGAGAACTCGGTGTCTGCGTAAATGTTTCAGTCTCCTGTACAAGTGGCATCAATTATTTATTACTGCTAGTCTTGGGAAGGGTAATTGGGAATGGCCTAAAATCTTAAAGCAAATGAGAAACTAATTTAGAAAGAGAAAGAGATGCCGACAGCTCGGGCGAATCAATATTTTGACTTTTCAGGAACTTTTGTAAAGGGGAATATTGATCCGAAAACCTACGCCCCGGCAGCAATGCAAAACAATTTCACTCTCAGTGATTTTTTTTAGATTTAAATTCCTTTCAGTCTAGTGGCTTTGTGCTACTGAGTTTTTGAGTATACATTCTGGAGTCGCAGGCGGAATATTAAACGGAGTTGGTTGAAAGCTTGGTAATCCCTTACTTAGCCTTTGGAAAAAGCAATAACTCACTTTTATTTTTTTTTCTCTCTCTCTGCATCGTTTAAATGACGCTGTAATGATGAAGCTTTTATAAATCCCGCAGATTTCTGAAGGGATTTAGTGCAAATGTGCCAGTTACAATTGGAAGGAGACTATAATGTATTTTATTTCCGAGGTGGAGAGAGTTTAGTGCAATTTTGATTGACGCCTTTCTTTAGCAAAGTGTAATTGCTCCTGAATAACACCCGTGTGGGAAAGCTCAGTCGTAAATCGTGTTGAAATAGTGTAAAGTGGGAGCTTTCCTTTCTCTTGTGAATTTTTTTTTTCCGGGGAGGAGATGACAATTGGGTCTAATGGTTGGTTCGGGAGTTTTCCGGAGGAAATCTTTTGTGGACGTTTAAAGTGCTTATTTGGCAGAGCGCTGGCCAGGAATGGTGCAGAACCCCTAAGCATTTCGCTTGTTTGAATTAACAATCTGCTGAACAATCTCTTAGACCCACTGCAGCAGATTTTAATCTTTTTTAAAAAAAATTGCCATTTGCTAAACAGTCAGAGAAGGACTCCTACACAACCCCCCCCCCCTCTCTTCCTTCCCCTCATCAAAACAAAATAGAATAAACAGCTGGAGAAAATAGTGCATTAAATTAGGTGGTTTTGAAATTGCATCCACCAGTAATAGTTTTCTGAATGTGAAAAACATGCCACGAGTGACCTGACCCGACCCCTAACTCACTTGTGCCCTCGTTGGCCATGGCTTGTGCAAGCAATTGTGCGACCGGAGTTGCTTTCAGATTGTTCTGGGGCTTTTTTCATCTGAGTAATGTGGTGCCTGCTACCACGGAGACAAATGGTGACTGTGTTTAATGAGGATGTAAGGTTGGAAACCTATCCTAGAACATTGCTTGGTTCATTTTTCTTGGAAGTGTTGGGGGAAACTTATAGTAATAATACTTGCATTTGATACAGCGCTTGATCATGTAGTTGAGACATCTCAATGCACATTGACTACACCTGCTATCATATTTGATCATCAACAAATTGTAAGGTTATTTTCATTACGTAAAGGGATGGCGTGTCATTAGTTATGTAGAAGCCATTTTTTTTAGGTACACAAAAGAGTATCAATAAACGGTAAGAGGCCAAATTTCCTTGAAACTGGCTTTTCATCAACTAACAGGAATTGAAAGCTGTGACTGAGATTCAGTGCTCAAAAAAGCTTGATGCTTAGTGTCTTTTTTGAGTGCTGGCAATGTGAACTTTTTCTTACTGGCCTGAGCCAAGAAAATAGTTATTTAGGGAGCAGGAGGCGTTAGTGTTCTAGAGAGTGATTTCCTGACTGTGGATCGAACAGGGCCCTACAAGCTTTTCTACTCTTGTAATTAGGAATGCCTTTGTGTCAGCCAGCCATTGTTAGGAGGCTGACTGGATGACTATGTGCCCAGTGGGTGTTGCCTTGAGGGTAGACGAAGGAGTGAAAATGTCTACTGGAAGTAAGTTTAACGTGGTTGAAAATGTTGGCTTTTCATTGAAATTTTAAAGATTTTTTTTTCTCCCACTTCTATACCAATATGAAATTTTCATTCTCACTCCAGGCGTCCTGAGGTTGGCAGTTTAGTGCAATACTGTATGTTGTGAGCCCATGCCCACTAGGAACTGGTTGATGTAGCCTAAAGCTCATTTCACAAGGGGCGTTTTACAGCATGACAGTAGACCAGATTTATAATTTTGGCTTGTTTGAGAGGCGGTTCCTGTGATATACTGTGCACACCATAGAAAAAAGCGCATAAACAAAAGGCTGTAATTTAAGCTCGGTGTGCAGATGACATCTATAAACCATTCAGCCCTCTCTTATGGTCAATGATATCATCTCAACCTCAAGGTTAAATTGGTCTTATTGCAAACTCCTATACATTATATACTATAAAAAAGATTAAAATTAGTCCCTTTATTTTAGATAGCTGCAAATCATGGTTTTGCATTTCTGAAATGCTTTTATAATACTCTGTTTTTGTTAAATGTCTATTCTGTCACCTGTGTTAGTTAGCATTGCTTGTTACATTACAGTTTTCGTGGAAGGATGAATAAAAAGTATTTTGCTTTTAATCCTGATCTTTCACGGTCTCAGATTTGCTAAACCAGTGTCCATTTCAAATCTCAGCTCACTTTCCTTCATCACATTGGGTCCCTGACTAATCTTGCTTTCTCCACCTTTGCCACAATGCCTGCCTCTATCCCTGTCTCTCAAAAACCCAAAGCTTTGACCTCCCTATCCTCACCAAGATCCATTGGCTCCCACTACTTTGGTGGGTCATTTAACATTCTTGTCTTGTTCATCAAATACCTCAACAGTCCTGCCCTGCCCTATGTGTGCAGTCTTTTTCAGCCCTAAATTATAGCCTTTGCCATCCAATCTTCTGGTCTATTGCTCGCTTCCATCACTCCCTATCATCTGTGAGAATGTCTTCAGGCTTTATGCCCCCACTTTGCTTGCTCCTTGCTACTGCTTTCTCCACCTTATAATAAATAATAATCCTTGCATTTGATATAGCGCTTTTCACATCTTCTAGACGTCTCAAAATGCTTCACAGAATAGACTGTAAAGTGAATTGACTGTATATTTGTAGGTGAAACGCGGAAGCCAATTGCACACAGCAGTATACCACAAACAGTCATGGATTGAAATGATCAATTTATTATTGTTTTTATTTCTGGAGTGATTATTATCTGGCTATGGAGTAAGGAAACTTGCCCAAGGTTTCACCCTGCCGGGAATCAAACCCAGGCCTCTTGCTTGCGAGGCGAGTGCTCTCACCACTGAGCTACAGGACTCCCATCTTCAAAGACATCTTCAAAAACTTATTTTGGTCCACACATTAAATCTATTTCCCTGCGCAGTTGTCCGCCACGATATATATCAAGCGCTTTGAGACATTCTTTTATGCTATAGGCGCTGTATAATTGCAAGTTGCTATCTTGCAATTACTGGAACCAAAAATCCTATTTTGGATTAAAACTTCAGATGTGAATTGGAATTCCTATTGCACAAGATATAATGCCTTGTGGAATAAGCTAAGACCATTGGAGTGAGCATTCTCTCTGGATTCAAGAGTCTATAAGGGCTCTAAGATGCCACCCGGCTGTCTTTGTGTTTGAGCTCTTGGCATAAAACTGACCACCTGCTCTAAGCTAATCATCATTCTTCAGTTGATGGCAGGAAGCCTGCACTGCAGATTCTGCCAGTGTTCCTCTAACTGTCTGTGTGGACCTAGCATGACTTGTTCTTTTCCTAAATCCCTGTGCTTATCTGGTAAGTTAATCATACCCTGGTG